TCCTTTCCAGCTGGGCGATGACCTCGTCCCGGGGGTCCCTGGCGGTCGCAGCGGCGCCCGGCTGGTTCCTCATGCACTCGTCGTGAGCCGCATTGATCTGGTGGTGCACGTCGTCTTCGTGCAGCTTCCCCTTGCCCTTGTCCGGGCGGGGCTGGTCCGCTGTCCGGGACACAGACCCTAAACTTTCCCTTGGCGAGCCAGGCCGACGCTCGCCAATCCGTCCCGCCATCCTCTCCGAAACCGGACGACGGCGCGTGTCACCTAGCCTGTTGAAGGCAGAGGCTTTTCCACGCGCTGGGGTCTGCCTGGGCCGAAGAGGGGAAGCAGGGTGGGAGTGGGACGACGCCGTGTCCTGGGCCATCACCCCTTCATCGTTGCCTATCTGGACGGCCAACGGTTGGGGCTGAGGAGGTGGAGTGACGTTCCCCCCGGTCCTTGGCAAGAGTGCGCTGAGGACGGTGGGGTTCTGAGCCAGGCTGGCGATGATGACCGACAACGCGGCCTGGACCTGTGGATCCACAGACGGGGAGGCCGCGGCCATAGGCTGGGCCGGGGTGCGGTCCGTCTTCTCAGCTCGTTTCTTGTCCAAGCCGATGCGGGCATCAGGGGCTCTGCCGTTGAGTTGGTTGCGGAGGTCCGCCGTGAGGTCGAAGGCCTCCTGGAAGACGTCCCCTCCGGCGACCTGGTCGGCCGTGGCGTCCTCATCGTGCTCCCTGGCCTCTTGGTCCTCAGGGATGGCCTTGCTGACGAGGTTGCAGTTTGATTTAGTTCATCCCATGCTCAGTGGCTAGCTGTGCTTGGTAGCGACGAAGGGTGCTAACTTGATTGTTCTAGCTCTCAATGAAAGCACCAAATGATAGAGTATATCTAGAGAGAAGTGAGAGCTAGAGAGAGAAGTGCAATATATGCTTCAATATAATGAATTTGTCACCCCTATAACTACTCCCAAGGGGAGTATTTATAGAGAAAATACGGGCTGGGCTTCCAAGCCTTGGGCTTGGGAGGCCCATTTACATCTGGACCGCTACTGGGCTGAATACAAAGCCACTAATGGGCTGTACAAATGAGTAAGTGTAGAATCCGGTTCTGTGAGGTCTTCGTGGCCGACGAGGGTGTGGCCGACGAGGGCACGGCCGACGAGGGCGCGGCCGACGAGGGCACCCGGGTTCCTTGGGCTCAGGACCATAATCTGGGTTGGCACCTTTTCGGCCGACGGGGGGTCCCTTGGCCGACGAGGACGCCACTCTGTGTCTTGTGCTTTTTGTTCTTCTGAGTATGTGGGTCCGGGGGCTCAGACCCATATACTCCATCAGTATTATATCCTCTTTTTCATTTCAAAAGAAATGAGTGTTCATTGTTACTTTTTATTTCATGATGTGATCACTATAAACTCTGATATAATTATGGAATAAAGTCCATAAGTAGTCAATAATAGGTCATTAATAAAACAAGTGTAGACATTAAATGACTACAACTAAAGTAAGTACACAAGTCAGTTACAACTATATGTAAAAGCTTATAAAGTAACAATGGAGTTTGATATATTGGTGAAATAAATTTTAGATACAAGACACTTGAAGTAAATATGAATGTGTTGTTAAATGCGGTCACCGAAACACAAAATTTTTCGTGCAAATATCTGCTACACATGCATATTCATCAGAAAACTTTAGTTGCAGGCTTGTGAATAAGGTAAGAAGCAAGAAGAGCACTGTGTGAGTAAAGTAGGCATGTTAAATGGATTTTGATGTAGGCAATAAATACGTACAAAAGATACAGTCACTAAGCAGACAGTAAAAAGACATTAATTTCAAAGATGATGTCTGCTAGTTCTGAAACAACTACTACATATTATTCAATGAACTTGAGTTTGAATATTAAAATAACATAATCTCGGATGCCAATAAATCATGGCAAATAATGTAAAGTTACATTGCTAGTAAACCATGTCAATTTAAAAGTACGGGGAAAAAACTACAATTCTCACAACTCTCATTGGACGTAATGAAATGAAAGTGATATGACATTTTGAGTTTAAGAACTATGGGCTGGAATAGGATCCCTATAAGGTTTCTTATTGTGCCCGCATTTTTACACCATGAACATTGTTCTCGGTGTCAGGGAGAAAATTCTCCAATTGAAGATGAGCGCTTCTTTTAGGCCTACTGGGTTGGCATGTGAGGTTTGTAGTTGGACTGCACATAATCCGGAAGGTCTCAATCAAAGCAAGAACCAATAAGGTGCACCACCTCACTGTAAATAGTAACCCGCTCATGTGTAAAGTAAACCTTTGAGATGTAATCATAACACGATAATCTTCAATGTTGACCCACAACCGCAACACCATGAACATGTATGCACAGCTTCTAGGTGTTTTGTCCACCACCCCAAGCTTAAATTGAGTAGCAAACTTAACTTAAAATAGCATTCACATAATTAAAAGTGATAGTCATTAACTGAAACACAAAAAACGATGACACTTAACATAAAATTGCAATGCCAAAAAACTGTGGCAATTAAGAATAGCGAGAGAGAAAAAAACAAGTCTTATAAATGTTATTCAAGAAATAAAAAAAAACGAATCCATAAAATATTATCAAACTAAGAACTACATATCGGGATAGGCCGGATTCCCGCAAGTACAAGCAACTCCCCATGATGGTACCAAACTGTTAACAGCTTTAAGACCTGGGAAGTTTTTCAATAAAACATCCCACAAGGCAGTACCCCCCTATGTGAACCAACAATGCTATATCTTCTTCTTCCAGGAGTAAAACGTCATCACAAAGGGTGGAAAATACTCTTGTTGCATACTCTGAGTAGTATTCGTGTTGTTTTGAAATAGACCGACCCAATTTTTGTGGGGGTTGCACTGGTTTCTGATTGAGGACTTTTGTCAAGCACTTTATTTGCATAAGTTGAACCCTCCATTTCAGAAAGTTCTTGGACTACAACCGGTTGTACATAGTTCACCATAAGACAATCAAAGAATTATATGAAGTAGAAAAATAGAAATCGAAGTTGGAAACTAAAAAACAGAGAAGAAAAATACTTTGAACTGCAATTTCAATGTTAGAATGAGAATTCAAACTTGAAGATGAAAGAACTGATACAGAATATATAAAAGAAATTCGTTTATACAGGAAAACATAAAACCGTAACAAATTTGTAAGAAAAATGAGTAATAAAACTTACAAAAAAGTGCAAAAAATTTGCACAACGTATGAAGCTCGATGAACAACTGAATGGCGCTTCTGAACAATTCGTGGACCATGCGAGCATGATCGAAACTGGAGAAATGAGCATGAATGAATAAAAGGATGATGACCTTGAGCTCGGTTGATTACACAGACGAAGAGCGAATGAGATCAGTCGTTGCCCAAGTCACTCGTCTTTGATACGTAGCCTAAAGTGGAGGGTAAAAATGGAAACTAAAAATTAAGTTTCCTAAAACAGAACTAAATAAGACTTACGGATGGAAAAACCTAACTAAGTCCCAATCTTGTAAAGTTTATAGGAAAAATCAGACTTTCCTGTAAGTAAAGTCTTACTTACATCAATTTTCTCTTGTGCAATAATAAAAAGGGAGAATTCCCTAAATAGGAGTAAAAAGTTTTGAAATTCCAAAATAGGAGTATCATGTTTTTTATTTCTTGAATAAGAGTAAATTTCTGCCAAGTTTGGAAGAAAATGTCATGTTATAAAGCCTAGTAATGCCAAACTTGGCAGAAATTTTCTCTTATTCAAGGAATAAAAAACATGATCAGTCGTATTTTGGAATTTCAAAACGTTTTTGCTCCTATTTAGAGCAATTTCTATAATAAAAAAATAAGATACTCCTATTTTGGAATTTCAAAATGTTTGGAAGAACATGCCACATTATAAAATGTCATGTTATTTACTCTTAGCCAGGTTTGGAAGAAAATGTCGATGTTATAAAGCCTAGTAATGCCAAACTTGGCAGAAATTTACTCTTATTCAAGGAATAAAAAACATGATACTCCTATTTTGGAATTCCAAAACGTTTTTGCTCCTATTTAGAGCAATTTCTATAATAAAAAAATAAGATAAAAGTTACTTTTCTGACCGTATTGGTTGAAGTTATTGTAGTGATCATTTTAACTATTTTTCACATAATTAATAAAATATATTTTAAGTATAATTTTTTCATAAATTAATAGAATCTGTCAATCTAACTATTTTAGCCGGTACTTTGTAAATTTTAGTCAGTACTTTGTAAACTTTAGCAGAGTCAGCGAATGCAGTCGATTTTTATATGCCCAAAAGGGTTGGTATGTAATAATAGTATAATTATGCTGGAGTATAAAAGAATTAAAAAAGTCATGCTTTCTTTTTTACTTCATCGAGTATAGAAAAATAGGCTCAAAACAAAGTCATACTCTTTGTTTTCTATTATGACACTAATGATGTTTTTAATTGTATCATATCTTTAGAAGATAAGACCAGAATGAACGTAAATAGATTAAAAATGTTTTTCTTGAAATTTGATGGTCTGGTCTGGTCTGTTTGAGTCTGATCTTGTGTGAACTGGTTTGGTCTGGCTTGATCTGTTAAATGTTTGGTCTATGTGTATTTTATAACTAGAAAAGTCATATCTAGTCTGATATGGTCTGTTTAATTATGGTCTGGTCTAGTCTATGATTGAAAACAATCCAAGTAAAAACATACCAAACTACCAAAGTAAGTGATCTCAAGTTCTCAACAATTATAAAATTTAAACACACAATTGATATATACCACGAATGTTATCTTTTGGACTGAATTTTTTTGATCTGGTTTAGTCTGATCTGATCTGGTTCGGTCTGAACTGATCTGATCTGGTCGATAAACGTTTGATCTCTATGATAGTATTTTATAACTATAAAAGTCTAATCTGGTCTTGTCCGTTCCGGTCTCATCTGGTCTGATTGTGTTTGATCTGGTCTGATCTGATTTGGTGGTATAAGCGTGAAAACAATCCAGACCAATAGATAAAATCAGAAGATTTGCCCTCTGGCCTCACCCATTTTCCCCAGGCGCCAATTTTTTTCTTGTAAACATGAATGCTTTTGGCGCAATTCCCCAAATTAACACAGCCTATATCTCGTTTACATTAGCTTAGCTCTGGCTTCGACGTCTTCTCATGGCGGAATTTGAAGCTCCGTCTTTTTCTCTAGGGCTCGATTTTGAGCTTGATTCGCAGCCTATCCCTACTCCGTCACCCCTGCCGTCTCCCCAACCGTCGCCCAAACATGCTAAAAGATTTCTACACACTCAGAACCTCCGGACAATTGAGGATGATGATGACGATGATTTTGAGTCCCCTGTTCCGAGCATTGAACCGAAGTGCACGGACCCACCATTGACTCTAAAGCGCCTGCGGCGAGGACCCACCTCCAACAGACCGACCTCAGTGGCCGAAAACCTGGACATCAAGGAGGGGACGTGGTGTGATGTAGAGGACGAGATTGAAGATTTCTCTTCCGAGGAAGACCGGCCAGCCGGTAAAAGTATTTCAAGCCTTTTTTAGAATTCTTTGGCATTTTTATAGGAAAAAGCTTTTTTTACACTGTCTTTTATGAGAACTTTTTGTCAACTGCTGGTGAGAAGCTTTTGTCCGTAGGCGCTTATGGATACGCTCATTGAGTGTTGGGCATGAAAATGATAAGAAATAAAGGAAGTGTGTGTGGCTTGTTGTACTGGATGGGATTTTTTTATATGTTACACGCTTGCACCAACTTTGGAATGGAAATTGAAGTATAATTAGCGAGAACAACTTAGCAACTACAAATTGATCCAACACTGAAAGAAGTGAACTTCTGTTACTAAACTACACTTACATTGACTACACGCTATCTTTGTTCATGGAACCCGTGTTTAACTAACAGCATTAATTAACACATGTGACATATGTGTGTCTACCATTTTTTTCTAATCCAGATAGTTCAAGCTATGTGTCCCTCATTACCAGTTCGATGTGCTCTGAGATCTTCATTCCCCGTGTGCAAACTTAGAATTATTGTAAACATATCTCTCTTTGAACTGTACTGGTTTGATTATGATATCATCTGACCTTGCATTTTTAGCTTTCTCGTGAATATCTTGAATATTTAAGTAATTGGTTAGTGTTTCGACAGTGACTGCAAATTCTGGTCAATTTGATGAATGCATTTTGATGTACTACAATATGGAGTAGCTGCTAACTTTGTCACTTTCTTTTTATTACAATAAATGGTTGTTTTCCTGCCCCTATCTAATTTTTTCACTTTTGGTATCAGGTCCTTCAAAATTCCTAAGATCTGTAAGCAGCAACTCAAAAATCCCATTACACCATCGTCGGAATTTTTCCATGCAAACAACCACTCATGGTGCTTTGAAAGGGAAAAGGCCGGATAAAGACCCTCCTGCATGTCAACCTATGGAAATAAGTGACGATAAATTTGCCTTCTCCAAGTCAAATATTAGTCCTATAAGAAGTTTTCAGTTGATTGATTTAGATTCAGACGATCCATCCCCAAGTGAACATCTGAAGAAAGACGTAAAAGCAGAGCCACCTGTTGAAAAAAGTACAGTTTCAAGTAAACAGATGAAATTTAAAGCATCTCATGTGGTTTCCGAGTCTGAAGAACTATGGAAAGGGTTTTTGACAGACAAAACCTCCAATATCTCTACACCTGCCTTGGATGAGGTTTGCGAAGAATATTTTAGGTCTCTGAAGCACAGGAATGCCAATCAGAATACAAATGAAGATCTTCTCCCAAACAGCGGTCTTCCTGAGAACAGCATGCAACAAAGGCCTGATGGTCCTTCTGTGCCTGCTCATAGCTATTATTTCCACGAGGATTTAAGGATCCAAAAGTTAGTTCATGAGAGGTTGCCTCACTTCTTCCCTTTGGATGCCAAGAACAACCAAGGGATCAAACAGAGTGATGGATCAATCGATTACATGTAAATGCTCATATTTATGCCGTTCTAGTCTGTCAACATGTAGGTCTTTCCATCACTTGTTTGTAACCGTTACTTTCCTGATTTCTTTTCAGAGGGCAATTTTCCCCCATAGGAGGCTCCCAGAGTCGAGCCGACAAGGTTGCAGCTGACAAAAGCTCAACAAAACGAAGAAAGAAAAATAATTCGAAGAAGACATCTGAAGTGCCTACAGGGTGGGTGGACCCTAAAGTTTCTGATGGGGCTCCAAAGGATGCTGGCAAGAGAAGGGTGCATGCTGTTGGTAAATCAGCTGGGCATTGGCTCACATCTTCAGATGGGAAAAGAGTAAATATATTATTACTTCCCACCATAAATTTATTGAAGTCCTGATCTTTGCTATCCACATTTTCTCCTTGAGTTCAGTTTGTTCGTTACACATTGATATCAAAAGTAGTTTGTGCTTAATTTCTCTTTGCCTTATTTTTTCAACACTCTTGAAAACCAATGGTGCATTAGTGCATCTAGTTCTTCTGTTTATTAACTGTTGATGAAACATACAATTGACTCCAATTTTCAAACGGTTTACCAGGTCTATGTAACAAGAAATGGGCAAGAGATGAGTGGTCGGAGTGCTTACATACATTATAGAAAGGTAAGCTTCTATGCATTATGACAGAGTACGGAGTATAATATATGCTATTTTAGTATTCACAAAAATTCCCCAAGGATTTTTCGTGTCATTATGTGGAATTCCTATGTGTCACAATGTCACATATTCATTAGGTGCAAAAAAGTTTAACCATATGATCATCACTCAATGAGTATGTGACACTTAAGAATGTCACCTATTAGTGCCAAATTTTCATGTCTCCCTAGACTTTCTTAAAAAATGCACAATGCACAGATTGTTATTTATTTTCCATGCCAACATTTTATTAAGGAGGTGTTTGGAATTGATTCTGTTTCTGCTTCTTTTTTAAAAGCAAAAGTAGAATCAAAATCAGTTTTGATGAAGTCGGTGTCCCCCAACTTCTAAAAAACTGCTTCTAGGAGCAATTTGGAGCACCCAAAGTACTTCTACACTTTCACTCAAACACTCCAATATATGCTTTTGTTCTCTTAAGGAGAAGAAGCAGTTTTAAGAAGTAGATCCGAACACCCCCTAAGTAGCCCCTCAAGAGTCAGCAACAGTCTAATATAATTAACATGGCAATAGGTGCTTTGTTTTCATGGTTTTCCGAATTGAGACAAGACATTGGATGGACTTGCTCATTTTTAGCTTGTTTGATTCAACTAATTCAAAAGACACAAACTGCAGAGCTTATGCATTTGTGAACAATTAGTAATCTACTTGAATGGACATTGTTATTATAGACCTATTAGTTTATACGAAGTATAAATTAGTCTTCAGCTTGTTAATGGATATAGGGACATCTGGAATTCTAAATTTAGTAGTAGTTGCAGTAATGATGTGATTGATGTCGTATGTTTAACCGTAGATGGCTGTGCCTCAACGCAACACAGAAAATTTGCATCCATGATTAAAATCGTGTACCTAATGGTGGGTTCTTTAATTGCAGGAGACTGGATCAGGATTCAAGAAGTCAAAAAAGAACTCCACCAGCAATAAGAAATCATCTGCCAAGAACAAGAAGAGATGACCCCTTTCTCAGACTAGCCTTGTGCGCTCATATTCTCAGATATACATTTTTCATGTTTATACATCAGTGTTGTATATACATTTAGTTTTCCCTCTAACGATAAGAACAAGATATCTATAATTCATATAATGATATAATTCATATTTTTCATCAATCCTTGACTTATATATTTGTTGGTTCAGTTGTTGGTTGATTAAATTTATTCTGTTCAAGTTATTTGGGGTTCTATTTTAAAAAGTTAAATATTAATTTTAATGAAACATCAAGTTTCCTGGTTGGATTTTGTGTAACATAGAAGATGATAGGACTTTCCCCTTGTGAAACATGATTAAAAATTTAATGAAACATGGCATAATTAGTCATATTTTGGGAATAAAAAACATGACAGTCTTATTTTGGAATTTTCAAACTGTTTTAGTCTTATTTCGGGAACTTTCCCCTATTTCTTTCATAGAATGGAAACAAAACATTTATTTTTGTAGGGTACAACAAATAACAAGATTATCCTAGTGCCGCAAAGGTTCACACTACAGTGGGGTAGGGGGTTAGATTTACACCTGCACTAAATCATAGAGAGACTGTTTTCAGATGACCCGCGATGAAAATCACATCAAAAATTGTAAGGGTCTTAGAACTTGATAGGATCTTTCCAACGAGCTATAAAACGCTTGAAAGTGATATTTATAAAAAGAGCTATTTTACTCATAAATGGTCAATGGTTAACATTGAAGATGGTGATAAATGAATTGAAAATTTACCATGAAGAGAAGTAAATACTCCCGCCGTATCCCTATAATTGTTTCATTTTTTCATTTTTGGATGTCCCACTATTATTGTCACATACCATATTTGGTAACATTTGTGTGACTCTTATTCATTCTTACTTTATTCCCACTTTATCAATTCATTATCAACCACATAATTCTACTTTTCTTAAAAACCACATCACTCTTCTCTGTTCCAATATTAAGGGGGCGGAGGTAGTACGTTCTAACTTGTGGATCGATCCATGAACTCATCTTTAAACGCGTCTATGAGTGTGATTTTAAGAAACAATAGTCAAAATTTTCTTTATCATTTATTCTTGAAGCCACGTTGGAGTATTGGCAAGTCTTCAAGTTATTAGAAAAGGGTCAAATAAGGCCTTCTACTATTACGAAATAGTCACATAAGGCCATGTACTCAATAAAGTATCATATAAGTACCTCTACCTGTATAAAACAATCAAATGAGTCCTAACGGCTTATTTAACATCTCCTAATCCCGATTTTAGCTTACATGTTGATTTTTTGACTTGTATTTCAACCAATCTTAGTTAAATATTCGACATATGCCGTAAAATGTATTCTAAAAAGATGGTCTGAAGTACGTTGAAACCGGGAAGGTGTTAAATAGGTCATTAGGACTCATTTGATTGCTTTTTAGAAGTAGATGTACTTATATGACACTTTATTGAGTACATGGTCTTATATGTCTATTTCATAATAGTAGAATGCCTTATTTGATCATGTGAAAGAAAATATATAGAGTAAGCTAGCGTGCTTGCTAAGGAGTACGCTGGTGTGATGAATGAATAAGATTCATTTATGATTTATCTAAAATATTTAGAAAATTTCGATCATTCATCACAATGATGAGCTCCTAGTGAGGGCTCCCCCATATATTTATTTTTTTCCCCATGTAATATGTAGTATACGGTAAGGGAAAATCGCACTTTTAGTCCCTCAAATAATCATCATATTGAAATGCCAGACCCGTATTTTCGAGATTCTAAATGTCATCCCTCAATTAGGGTGTAAACGAATCAAATCGAACCGAATACTTGATAATATTATTCGTATTCGTATAATTTTCGAATATTCGTATTCGTTTAAAATTCGAATCTTATTTTGTATTCGTATTCGATTCGTTTGATATATTCGAATCTTTTTCGAATCGAATTCGAATATTCGAATTCAAAAAACATTAAAGTTAATTTGTGAAAATAATTAAAATTATGATGTTAGTTTGCCCCTTTTAACTAATTTTCATATTACATATTTTATAGGAAACAAAATTCATTTATAGAAGTCACTTCAAATTTAATATCAATATAGATAAATCAACGGAGAATTTTAATTGTAAATTAAGCTATTTTGACCTGGTAAAGTAAGAATTTTTAAATTAAAATATGCAAAATATTTACATGAATATTTTGTTATTAATATTTTTACATTGAACTATATGTATTCATAAGAAGTAGTATATATTGTATGAATATATATATATATATATATATGTATATATATATAATTCGAATATATTCGAATATTATTCGAATCGAATATCATAGTTATTGTATTCGTAAAGTATTCGAATCAAAAAATAGATTTGTATTCGTATTCTACTTACTCGAATTCAAATCGGCATTTTCGAATTCGAATCACGAATCGAATCAAAATCATTCGATTCGTTTACAACTCTACCCTCAATTGTTCAAATTGCTGTAAATGTGTTCTTTTGAGAGGTGAAATGTACTCCTCACCCACATTGTACATTTCACCCCTCAAATGATCACATTTACAGCAATTTGGACAATTGAGGAGAACATTTACCGACTTAGAAACACAAATTTGATATTTCAATATGATGACTATTTCAGAGATCAAAAGTTTTATTTTCCCATACGGATAAACAACAAAAATTGCGGTTTTTCTAACTTTCATAATTGTATAGCAAACGTTTGGGCTCAAATTTAATTGGTTCTATTTGGGCTAACATAATAGACGCGACATGAGCTACTCTTTTTGTCTCTCTTTGGCCCATGGATGCTTGATTGCTTGCACCTTCTCTAGTTTTGACGACCGACCGAACAGGTGACAGAGTGGCGCCGAGTTGAAACTGCGGTGGCAATATGGAGGCGGCGACATTTAGTGGTGCTTCACCTCTCCGAGCCTTTGGAAGCTCTTCTTCTGCTTCTTCTTCTTCATGCTACGGTTCTTATTCCCAAACTCAAATGTTGCTGCACAATAAGCTTAACAGTAACGGACTCAAATTCAAAGTTCCCAGAAGCTTTTCGGTTCGCGCCTCTTCTTCCAGTGATCGAAATTCGGGTATCTATGCTCAATGGGTTAAACGTATTTCAATTGTGAATCTTTTTATCTTTCTGGAAACTGGAGAGTTGTCCTCTTCCTCTCAGAAATGACTATTGAGCTTCTTTGGAAATTGCAATAACTCCTAATCTTTTACTCTTTTAATTTCAACATGTTAAGTGGTTACTCTGCTCGACTATGGTGCCGGAAATGTCCGAAGTTTAAGGAATGCAATTCAATTCCTTGGTTTTGATATTAAAGATGTAAGTTTTCCTTTCAATTCATTGTTTTGTTTTGCTTTTCTCAACACCTCTTACCCATCCTAGGAGAAAAAAGAGAAAAACTTGCACTGAACTGTTCTATTTCAAAGGAGGAAGGACAGGCCCTACATTTTGCAACTGAAAGGATGATTTATGATTTATTTTGAAAGTTATATGACTGTAGGAAGGTTCATGTGCTTTGTTAGCTCGTTTCGTAAAAGACAGTGTTCTGCATGAATGCATTCTTTTAGGTACAAACACCTGAGGACATTATCAATGCAAAATGCCTAATTTTCCCTGGAGTAGGTGCCTTTGCTGCTGCTATGGATGTGCTAAGCAAGAATGGGTAAGTCTATAGTAGGTTGCATTCCAAAATCCCAATGATAAGTTGGCAGTTATCCTGGGATGTACATACATGTAGTGATTTGGTGCATTATATATCAGAGTTTCTTGTCCTGTAGTTTTAATGGTCCATGTTATTTATGCAAAACTATGCCCTGCAGAATGGATGAAGCACTCTCCAGATATGTTGAACAAGATCGACCATTTCTGGGCATTTGTCTTGGCTTGCAACTGCTTTTTGAATCAAGTGATGAAAATGGTCCAGGTAAAAGAAGGTTTTGGCGCCTGTGCACGCCAAAGCAAGGCACTCTGCCTTCATACGCAGTCTTGTTCCAGATCAGACGGTCAAATTTACTCATCCTTGGCCTCATATATTTTTACTGATCACACGCTCTGACCCATCAACCATAGGTCATCTAATCTGAAACCGGAAGGTTGTGCATGCTTAAGGAGCCCTGCCTTACTTTGGTGCTGGGCAAAGGATCTCAATCTGTAAAAGAAAGGGAAAAAATTCCATTTAGGGTTCTCATTTTTGTTTGCCCATCAAACGATTTCTCATCGGCTATGTTCAGTAATTTGAAAGTTGTTTTTGCAATATCGACCATGCAATGGACATGGTGGTAGTAAACATCTCAACTCATCGCCTTCTCATGATATATTCCATGCATATGGAAATAATCTTTAATGATGACAGTTTTAGATTTTTATCTCATTGTTTCTTCTTAAGAAGGTTTGGGAATAAGGCTTGGATGTTGTTGTAGTTTTTCGTAAGATGGTTGTAATAGGAAGGGCATACACCATCAAACATTTCCATTATGCTTTTGTGCATGAGTTTATAGTGTTAAGTAATTTTGTACAATAAATTAAGGAGTAGCATTATAAGTTCGGGTTTTTCTTAAAATATTAGGGAGTACTAGAATGAATCCCAATTCTGATAATGTGATTACTTTCACACATGGACAAAAATGTGGCTAACAAGGTGATAGAATAGGAAAACTGTGAATGCCATGGCGCAGCTTATCATATTAGTGAATATTTTTCATTTCCTTGCCCGTTACTTCCATTGTCATTGCTGCCGTCATGGAATATTTACTAGCTAACAATTCATCCTTATTTTCAGTAAAAGGTCTTGGTTTAATCCCTGGAGTAGTTGGGCGCTTTGATTCATCTAAAGGGATCAGAGTACCTCATATTGGATGGGATGCACTGGAAATAACAAAAGACTCAGAGATCTTGGATGAAGTTGGAAATCAACATGTCTATTTTGTTCATTCATATCGAGCAATGCCTGTAAAAGTTTTTGCTTTCTTACATTTAATTGTATCATCTTCTGTTTTTCTTGTCAGTAATTCGGGCTTGACATCTGATCACTTAATTTAGTCAGACGCTAATCAAGAGTGGGTATCATCTACTTGCAAGTATGGTGACAATTTCATAGCTTCTATCAGAAGGGGAAACGTCCATGCTGTTCAGTTTCATCCTGAGAAGAGTGGGGGTATGGTAATCCATGTGCCTTTTCATGTTCGGAACATAAAAGAAGCAGTGGAAGAAAAACTGAATTTGAAAGATAAACTAGTTGAAAAATGGTGCAGATACAATAGTTGTAATATTTTCTGTGTATGCATGTCCGTAGGAGGGGCTCTTATTACCTCTTATTTACTGAAATATGAAAAAAGTTTGGGTTTTCTTGCAAAGTGAGTTTTGGAGTAGGCAAGAACTAAGAAGCTGTTTACTAGCCCGTTTGGGATAACTTTAAAATCAAGCTAGATATCTGTTGTGGGATTTCAAAAGTAAGATTTTGCTACTTCTACAACAACATCCAAGTCTTAATCCCAAAAGATTTTGGGGTCGGCTAACATGAATCGATTCATGATATCGATGCGAAAAAGAAAAGACAGACAAGAAGAAGAAAAAAATAAGATAAAACGGATAAGATAAAGATAAATAAATCTAAGATAACAATAACATAAGAATGAAAATGGTTTATATGACAATTGAACAATTACCAATTCTCTGTTTTTTATAAAATTGAAAACACTTGTGTGAAGCTAAACGCACCAAAGTGGTGCTTTTTAGAGAAGTGCTTTTACGAAAAAATGATTTTTAAAGCCAACCAAGTATGGCCCTTTTGAAAACCTCAGCTTCATGCTTTTCTAAGAAGAGATTTTTGGTTAAGACTTGTGTCCTTGACCTGTATGTTTTGAAAGAACTTGCTTAAAAAATTCACATTATACTCCATATATAAGCTTGCAAAGAGCTTGCTCATGTGGGAGATGTTAATCTATGTGAGCTTTTCCAAAGAAATGATCATATCTAGCTATCCAAGGCATTAATTCATATGATTCTACCTGCTCTTGTAATAACTCAGCAGTATGAGAAATGTACCAGATCCTACAAGAGGAACTGATTCTGTATGATTTTTCTCTTCAGATGTTGGCCTTTCTATCTTGGATAGGTTTTTGAAACCAGGGTCCAAAAGAACCCAGGTATGATTGTATTCAAGACTAAATTGTGCTTTTAACTATGTAAACTAACAAATAGAAATCTTCTTTGATAACAGAAGCTAGTCCAAGGAAAGGCTGGTAAACTTGCAAAGAGGGTGGGTGCTGGCGGTCAGACTTTTCAGATTGGATAATGATGTTCACTTCAAACTCCCAACCAGAAATCAAGACCATTAATGTTTTCCGCAACTTGGCAGGTTATTGCTTGTCTTGATGTCCGGAGCAATGACAATGGTGATCTTGTTGTAACTAAAGGTGACCAGTATGATGTAAGAGAGGACACAAAAGAAAACGGGGTAAGAAAAACAAACAACGAACTATTACAGTTAAAGAGACCAACTTTGTCTGCGGCCCCCCAACGAAAAAAGAATCGGTGGTTATGTTATAAATCTTCTGATTCATACTTTTGTTCAACCTTGAATCGGATTTCATGGTTTTTGGTTTTTCTGGTTCATAATTAGTTCTTGTGCAGAGTTGTACTATCATCTTGGATACTGATCTCAACTAATTAGTAATTGATGCTGAGTCCTGTCTTTATGATATTGCTAATTATCGCCTTTACTTAAGGTGAGAAACCTTGGTAAGCCAGTAGATCTTGCTGCACAGTATTACAAGGATGGAGCTGATGAGGTAGGCCTCACTTTATCTGTTGTTGATTGTTTCAATATGTGCTTTTGTGATAAAACACTTTTACTGCGTATATGATGTGCAGATCAGCTTTTTGAATATTACTGGTTTCCGAGACTTCCCTCTTGGTGATCTACCAATGTTGCAGGTTTTTGGTTCATAGTTTACTTGCGATTCACTTTCTGTAATCAATTTATGGTTTTGTTTATATTTGTGTTGGCAAACTCATAGAGATATGTTTGTGATAACATGCATTCTTGAGTAATTAGTGACCCGTGGAATTAATTCTATGAGCTGGATTCTAGTCAGTCTTTTTTCATTCTTATTTTATGTACTATGATCCTACCACTACTTCCACGTGAAATCTGATAGGAGGTTGTAACATGTAAGCTCTTGGTTCAAATGCAGGGATAAAATTCAAAAATAGGTTGGAATAAAAAATTCAAGGGCCTTTCTAGCCTCAAAAGAAAAAATTAGTTTTTTTTAACTTGAAAATAAACTCTACAAATACATTTTATTATATTCCAAAATTTTATAACGTGCATAATTCATCATTGTTGGTGGCGCGCACCGAAATCCTAAATATTTTGAGGTTGGTTCAATGATGTTTACGGTTTACATGGTATTGGGAAATGTGGTCGAGAAACCAAAACTATTTTAATGCCAGAGATTTTGTGGATAGAACTGTAGAATGCTAATAAGTTGTGTATGGGTATTTTCATGTAGGTATTGAGGTATACATCAGAGAATGTTTTTGTGCCTTTAACTGTTGGAGGAGGTATTAGAGACTTCACTGATGGAAACGGCAGGTAGAACTGGTTATTATTTTGGGAACTATTCATCAGTATCTATTGATACATCCGATTTCTGTGTGTCATCAGGAAATTATTCCTACCTAAATCTGAATATTATGAACTCTATGATATGCACAGTTTCCTATTAAATCTAATGAATGACTTTATCAGGTACTACTCTAGCTTGGAAGTTGCAGCTGAGTATTTCAGATCTGGTGCTGACAAGATTTCTATAGGGAGTGACGCAGTATACGCTGCTGAAGAATATCTAAAAAATGGGGTATGCTGATCTAGATGGATATTTACATTATGGGCCTGTTTATTTGTTTTGTTGTGTGCTTCTCCATGGGCTCTTCACATATGTAGTGTTGTTGCAGGTAAAAACTGGAAAAAGCAGCCTGGAGCAGATTTCAAGAGTGTATGGGAATCAGGTTATATTTTTTCACTGAAGATTTGATTCCTGAATAGAATGGTTCTGATAGTTACATATGCTAGCCATTTATAATTTTATATTATATATACATGTAATTTGGGCATTCTCTGGTACCTGAGTAACTGCTAACAAGGTTCATGCTACTAGCTTTAACTGACCACTGATTTATTTTATTCTCATTAGAGAAATGTCACTCAAATGTGGCTTCATTATCACATGACTCTTCATGTTAGCCGACCCCAAACTCTTTTGGGAATAAGGCTTGGATGTTGTTGTCGAGAAACATGGCTCTGTAGAATCAGCTAAATGTTTTAATTTTTGGAGATAATGGGAATGCAAGAAAATCAAATTAATGCATTAAATTAATATGTAACAAATATTTTGGTTAAGTATACAAGCTGTTGCCTTAAGAAGAAAATATTGCATATATAGCTAATGAGCGATATTATCTTATCATGTATGTACATATGCGGGCTTAATTCATGTCATCTGTATAAGCTGCTTTTAGGGATGCTTACCTAGGAGAGGATGATTTGTGTGATAACAATTGTTGAAATATAAACTAGAATAATATTGAAAAGTGGAGGAAAGATTTTTAGAAATTACTTCAAATAGGACTAAAACACTAGCAAAAACTCAAAACAGGACTTGCTATGTTTTTATTCCAAAATAGGACCATATGAGTCCTATTCGGAAACATACCTATTTTTACCTTCCATTCTTACCCTTTCATTAAATATGAGTTAAAAATAGTTAAAAGCCATAATTAAATGTTTAATTCATAATAAATTCTAAAAAAATTCAAAAAATTCGTAGAAAAATAATTAAAAAATTTACAAAATATTTATAAAATAAAAAATTCAAAAAAAAATTTTTAATAATTTTTTTTAAAAAAATTAATAAAAAATAGTAAAACTCCATTAAAAAAATTAAAAAAATATGGATGCCTTTCCCACCACCTGTACTACCTCCCTGCACCACCACTTCTGGCCAGTGAAAAAAATGCCATTTTTCCTAAAAACTGCCATTTTTTCTGAAAATGCCCAAAAAGTGGCATATTTCTCTTTGCGAATGCCAACATTTTCATTGTTTTCTGCCATAAATATGGCATTTGTAATAAACTTGGCATTTTTTCCCCTGGTGACCGGAGGTGGTGGTGCAGAGGCGGCAGAGGCGGCGGTGAATTTTATTTTGTTTTTTAAGTTTTTTATTTTTTAATTGTTTTTATTTTTTTTTATTTTTTGAAAAAAATAAATAAATTAATTATTATTATCGAAATATTTTTATTAGTTTTCTAGTATTTTTTACGATTTTTTTATGTTTTATTATTTTATTATGAATTAAAACATTTCAATAGCTAGAAGGGTATAATTGTCCAAGACACACATAATTAGTCCTATGAAAACATAGTTTAGTTTTGGTCCTATTTGTGTTAAATGAGTCAGTTTTAGTCATATTTTGATAATTAACTCAAAGATTTTGTGTGTATTTCATTAGTTGTGGAAGTCCCTATAAATATACATTACAAATAGAATATTCCTATATAAGATTCTATACAATAATAATATCTATGGTATATTCCTAATATATTCTAAAGCATATTCTAAAGCATATTCTAAAGTATATTCTAATATACTTTCACACTCCCCCTCAAGTTGGAGCATAGATATTTATCATGCCCAACTTGTTACATAAATAACCAACTCGAATTTCATTTAGTGCTTTAGTGAACAAATCTCCAAGTTGTTCCCCGGTCTTCACATATCACGTAGAGATCAATCCTTTTTGTATCTTCTCTCGAATAAAATGACAATCGACCTCAATATGTTTTGTTCTCTCATGAAACACTGGGTTGTTGGCAATGTGTATAGCAGCTTGGTTATCACACCACAGTTTAGCAGGCATTGGTGTCTTCAATCCAATTTCACTCAACAAATGGTTTATCCAGATTATCTCACATGCCGATTGTGCCATAGCACGATATTCTGATTCGGCACTAGATCAAGAAACCACATTATGCTTCTTACTTTTCCAGGAGATACGATTACCACCAACAAAGACGCAATAACCAGATGTAGATCTTCTATCATCTTTAGATCCAGCCCAATCAGCATCTGCGAAGCATTCTATTCTCATGTGATCATGATTTTGATAAACAATACCTCGTCCTAGTGTCCTCTTCAAGTAACATAATATATGTTCTACAACATTTCAGTGATCAACTGTGGGAGATGGCATATACCGACTCACTACACTCAGTGAGTATGCAATATCTGGATGGGTAACTGCGAGATAATTAAGTTTTCCAACCAATCTTCTATATCTCTCTGGATCTTCGAACGACACACCTTCGTAAGTGAGCTGTACGTTAAGAATCATAGGAGTGTTGCTCGGCTTTGCCCCTAATTTCCCTGTTTCAGTACATATTTGCGTTGGGATAGAAATATGCCTTTCTTGCTCCGTGTTACCTCAATACCCAAGAAGTATTTCAATGAGCCTAGATCTTTCGTCTAGAATTGGCTATGAAGAAAATTCTTAAGAGCCAAAATACCTGCAGTATCACTCCTTGTAATCACAATATCATCGACATACACCACAAGCAATGTGATACTTGCTTTCGTTCGTTTGTAAAAGACAGAGTGGTCTGATTGACCTTTTATCATGCCAAATCGTTCAATTGATTGATTGAATTTTCCAAACCATGCACGGGGACTTTGTTTCAAACCATAAAGAGACTTGCGAAGTCGACAAACTTTCCCATACCCTCCGAGCAACAAATCCTGGAGGTTGCTCAATATAAACTTCTTCGTGAAGGTCACCATGCAAGAATGCATTTTTAATGTCCAATTGATGTAAGTGCCAATCATGAGTTGCAGCGAGAAAAATAAGTAACCTAACAGATGTTAATTTAGCAACAAGAGAAAAAGTGTCAGAATAATCAACACCATAGGTTTGAGCATAACCCTTCGCAACTAATCGAGCTTTCAACCGAGCAACAGATCCGTCTGGGGTAACCTTAACATCAAAGACCCACTTACATCCTATAGATTTCTTCCTTCTAGGCAAGTCAACCAAATCCTAAGTACCATTAAGATCTAAAGCATTCATTTCCTCTACCATGGCATGACGCCATTCAGGATGAGACAAAGCTTCTTTAACAGATTTGGGTACAGAAACAGAATCAATGGAAGCAATAAAAGAACATGAGGCAGTGGATAACTGACTATACGACACAAATGAAGAAATAGGATGAGTACAAGATCGTGTACCTTTACGTAGTGCTATCGGAAGGTCAAGATCTGATGTAGAGACAAGATCTGAAGAAGCAGGTACTTGTTCAGGACATGAGATCGAGGTCGGACCAATATCAGGATAAGTAATCACAGATGTCACAGGTGGAGGGTGATCTGGTGCTCTGTTTCGACGGGTGTAAACCAAGTGTACTGGAGGTCTGGGGGTCGGGAACGGTAACATGTGGAATAACTACAGAAGGTGTAGATTCTGGTATAGTGACAGAGTAAACGAGTATTTCATCATTGTCCCCATGAATATCTGTCTTGGATGATGAAAAAGTGTATTTTCATGAAATGATGCATCAACGGAAACAAGATATCGACCTGTACTTGGACAAAAACATTTATACCCCTCCTGAACTCGAGAATAACCCAAGAAAATACTCCCTCCGTCCCGAAAAGGTTGGCCAAATTTCCTTTTTTGGATGTCCCAAAAAGATTTTCCATTTCCATTTAAAGTAAGGAATATGTGCCTAAAATTAATTCTCTCTCCTCTACACAAATTTCAACCACACAATTTTTGCTTTATTAATCCACGTGAAAGTCAACTTTGACCAACCTTTTCGGGACGGAGGAAATACATTTTAGTGATTTGGGGTCTAACTTTGTAAGATGAGGATTAACCTCTCTAACAAAGCAAGTGCAACCAAATGTTTTAGGTGGGATAAGAAAAAGCTCTTTGTTTGGAAATAAGCAGTGATAAGGAGCTTTACCGTTTAAAACAGAAGATGGCATACGGTTTACCATAAAACATGCGGTAGACACGGCATCCGCCCATAACTGTTTAGGCACATTCATTTGGAATAGAAGAGCCCTTGCAGTTTCTAACAGATGTCGATTCTTTCTTTCAGTGACTCCATTTTGAGGAGGTGTGTCTACGCATGAAGTTTGATGAATAATGTCATTTTGAAGCATAAAAGATTTAAATGGACTAGAGAGATATTCTTGGGCATTTGGTTGATTTCCTCAAACACACATTTTGGGACGGGGGAAGTACATTTTAGTGATGAGGGGTCTAACTTTGTAAGATGAGGATTAACCTCTCTAACAAAGCAAGTGCAACCAAATGTTTTAGATGTGATAAGAAAAAGCTCTTTGTTTGAAAATAAGCAGTTTTAAATTGAGTGATGAGCTGGTAGCGGAAGCAACATGAGCAAGCTGATTTCCTTGATTTTTAAACATCAATTTTTTGCATTCTTTGATCAAGTGCCCGGGCTTCTTGCAGTAATTGCATATTATTCCTCTGTCAAATTGACTCGTATAAGACATGTTTTTTTTGTTTTGTTTTTAAGAATGTAATTAAGTTCAAAGTTGAGATATCCAATGAAAACTTACAGCAGCTCGTTTGTGGACTCGACCTTGGAGAATAAAAGATCCAATTTGCTTGGGCTTTGACTGCTACTCCAGAGGGAAGTCCGAACTCAGACAACCCAACGAATAAACGAGAGAGCCTGCGTGCGTAAGTCCACAGATATCCGATGCCACACCCTTAGACCCAGCGACGTAAGACCATAACGTGCGTATTTCTGGATACTTCGATGCCAGACCCCAGCGAGCTACCAACAACTGCACCTCGTCCCACAGGTATTGTCCCTTTTAGTTTGTAGAGAAAGAATGAGAGAGAAGTAACATAACCTTAGATGACTTCAGGCGAGCCTGTTGAAGAGTTCCGACCAAATCTCCGGCCAGAAAAGTTGTGTCACGTGCCGGATTTGTGGTGGCGCGTGTAGCACGTTCGCCTTGCAGTTGGGTGTCGGAGATTTAAGCTGCTGGGTCGTCTGAGGTAGCCGCACCTCCTGAGTGAAATAAAGTGACCTGAAAATCTGGCCACTCTGAGGTCGCCTTGCAGTCGTGTCACTGTGACTCAAATTCTGGCCTGAAGAATCTGGGGCTAAATTAACTGAAGTGAGTTTCTGAAAAATTAGCAACTACGAGTAATTGATTTTCTGGAAAGTAGCAGCTAATTGATTTTCTGGATTAAGAATCTGGTTCTAGGGTCTTTTGATGTTCTGGAATAAGAGTCTGGAGGTTCTGTAGAAGTGAGTTTCTTGGAGACAGAAGGGTGTGTAAGGGTTCTGGAGTTAACTCGGGTTCTGGGAGGTTCTGGGAAGAGGTTCTGGGAAGGGTAAGAGGTTCTGAAGGTTCTGGACTTAAATCAGCTCTTGGAGAAAGAACCCAGTCTGGAAACTAAACTGAGATATGAATGACTAAACTGAAATCTGAAACTAAACTGAAATGGATGGCTCTGATACCATGTTGAAATATAAACTAGAATAATATTGAAAAGTGGAGGAAAGATTTTCTGTGTATTTCATTAGTTGTGGAAGTCCCTATAAATATACATTACAAATAGAATATACCTATATAAAGTATAGGAATTTCATAAGAATCTAGGTGTTCTCAAATTAGATTTCCATGGAGTCTGTGAAAGTATTGGTGTCCTCAAACATTCCATGGATTTCAATTATTATTTATTTGGATGGATTTTAAAGGATTTTGATGGAATTATACATGTAAAACATTCCATTTCAAATATTACCTACCCCCCTCGGATTTCAAATCCAAGAGGAAACGCGGAAGAAAGAGCGGCTTTCTTGACAAAGCTTCTATTGACCTGGCTTTCACATCTGCCGGCGGGATAATCGCTCCTGAGGTCGCCGGTGAATTACTCAAGCTTGGAGAGGATGGAGAGATGAAGCTTCGATGGCACTTTTCTCGCTGGGCGATGGTGTCGTCTTGATCTCAGATGTGAAGACCACAATGGCCACATGCGAGAAGGACAAATCCAGAGCTGAGTTTCCTTAGCTTAAGGACTGGCTGCTTTTTTTAATTGTCCATCTGATTTTCAAAGAATGTATGGACAGAGAAGAAAATAGTTGACGCAGGAGAAGGAGAAGATTTGTCCGGATTCGAAGTCCATTGCCAAAGAAAGTTGAATCCATACAAATCCATATGGAATTCCAAAGAGTTTGTTAAAATCCCTCAAATTCCATTAAAATCTATCAAATCCACAATCTTTACAAATCCATTAAAATCATTATCGAGGACACCCCCCTAAGATTCTATACAATAATAATATCTATGGTATATTCCTAATATATTCTAAAGCATATTCTAAAGTATATTCTAATATACATTCACACCACTGATGCTTTTGTTTTGTAGGCAGTGGTTGTCAGTATAGATCCCCGCAAGGTGTATTTGAAGGATCCACAAGATGTGGAATTCAAGGCCATCAAAGTGAGGAACCCAGGTAAGGCAGGAATGGTATGAGATTTCCAAAGGTTTGGACTTCCTAATTTGTGTTTGAATTTCTTTTCACTTAATAAAGAAGACTGACGGAACAAGATAAGATTCATTTAGCGAGTGAAACACACTCTGATCCAGATTTGAAGCTCCCATTTCTGAGCCAGATATGATTTATATATTTTTCCCTTTTGATGCTGGTTTCAGGTCCAAATGGTGAAGAATATGCTTGGTACCAATGCACAGTGAGATTCCATTCAATGACCCATTTATATTGAATTATTAGATTTACCCACTTATCTTTACTAGTTTAGTTTTCTGTAATCGTTGTAGGATGTAATATAACCATTCGCTTTTACTAAGTAGGATCATATATACTTGGTTACTCTCACTTCTCTTCACACTCCTTCAATGCCTTTACTAAACCTATTTTAAGGTGAATGGGGGACGAGAAAGTCGAGCAATTGGAGCATTTGAGCTTGCAAAAGCTGTTGAAGAATTGGGTGCTGGTGAAATACTGTTAAACTGCATAGACTGTGATGGTATTATAATGATTTCATGTGTCCTTGAAGTTATAATGTTTTTAGTGTCTCTATCAGTGTGTTATCTGCAAAAGGGCATTTTTGTTAATTTTTGGGTCCAGATGGTCATTTGGTAGGCATCTCTTTTTCCATGACAATAAAAACCCTCATGGTGCTCCTAAATCATAAATGCCTGTACAGGTCAAGGAAAGGGTTTTGATATAGATCTTATAAAGTTAATATCAGATGCTGTAAGCATCCCGGTGATTGCAAGCAGTGGCGCTGGAGCAGCTGAGCACTTCTCAGAAGTTTTCAAAGAAACAAATGCTTCTGCTGCCCTTGCTGCCGGCATTTTCCACCGAAAGGAGGTAACATTTCATTAAACTATTTGGCTCCTTCCACCGTTCGGGTATAACTAGTAGCGTGACCGGATGAGAAAATGGTGGCGTGAGGAAAAAATAATTAATATGGAGTAATTTTTTATGAATTTTTACACAAGTATTACTCAGTCCGTAAAGTTTTATTACATAACTTGGATTGGGCTCAGCCCCCCCCCCCCCCCCCCCCCACGGTGTACAACTCTCCATAGTGTATATATGGGGTAATTTGAGTTTGCACCCCATTTTATTGTGCAAGTTGGGCTTTGCACCCCGTTTTTAAAAAACTTTGTTTTTGCACCCCAACTCCATATGCAAAGACAAAAATGCCCCTCCATTAACAATTTTGTTGGCCTTCAACATATTCTTCATTGAGGGCATTTTTGTGTGTGTGTGTGTGTGTGTGTATATATATATATATTTAGTTTCAAATAAGAATATCATCTAGGGAGAGAAATGAGAAAGAATTACAACCCTAGGATCATCTTTTATTATTATCTTGGACCAAGGTTAATTGAGTAACTTTCACTTCTTTAATGCGTGCACATTAATTGGCTTATATCCATTTAATTACGTAGGTATGATTTTCCTTCTTGAATGATTTTCCTTCCTTTCATACATCTTAAATCATACATAGAATTTTCTCCAATTAGATTAAAGCTTAATATTACAATTATATTTCATCATATTCAGCTCGTTGTTTGTTTTTCTCTCTTTTCGGACTTTATTATTTTCAATCAAACTATGCAGTATGCACTCTTAATATATCAATTTTGCATAATATCACATATGATTGTGATGAATATTTATAATAACTTTTACAACATTAATTCTACACACTTGTATGATTACTCACACTTTATTAAAATGAAATATAAATAAATATCATTAATATATCTAATTTATTTGATCACAAATGTTGAAATATAAACTACAATGATATTAAGAATGGAGAGAAGGATTTTAGGTGGGATAGGAAAAAGCTCTTTGTTTGGAAATAGACAATGATAAGGAGCTTTACCATTCAAAACAGAAGATGGCATACGATTTATCAAAAAACATGCAGTAGACACGGCATCAGCCCAAAACAGTTTAGGCACATTCATTTGGAATAGAAGAGCCCTTGCAGTTTCTAACAGATGTCGGTTCTTTCGTTCTGCAACCCTATTTTGAGGAGGTGTGTCAACGCATGAAGTTTGATGAATAATACCATGCTGAAGCATAAATGACTTAAATGTAACAGATAGATATTCTTGGGCATTGTCTCCTCTTAACACCCGAACAGGAACGTTAAACTGAGTTTTAATTTCAGCACAAAAGGAAGAAAAATGAGTGAACAACTCAGATCGACGTTTCATGAAATATAGCCATGTCATACGAGAATAGTCATCAACAAAGGTAACAAAATATTTAAAACCAGCTTTAGACACAACTGGGCAAGCACCCCAAACATCAGAGTGAACAAGGTCAAATGGAGCATTGACTCGTTTATTAACTCGAGGGCTTAAGCTAGTACGATGGTGTTTCGCAAATTGACATGACTCACATTGTAAAGAGGTCATCTTATTGAATTGGGGATTTATTTGCTTCATTAATGGGAGAGATGGATGTCCTAATCGCTAATGAGCCTCTAACAAAGTCCCGACCCCAAGACAAAAGATACCTTTTGTGATTGATGTATCCAAAATATAAACACCAGCCGACTCATGTCCTTTACCAATAGTCTGCTTCGTTAACAGATCCTGAAACACACAATATCCCGGAAAAAATGTTACAGAACAATTAAGAGTACGCGTGATTTTGCTGATGGAAAGCAGATTAAATGCAAAATTAGGAAGACTCAGAACAGGTGATAATGGTAGTGTAGAAGTTGGGACAACAATACCAGATCCAAGAACAAGTGAGGTTGATCCATCAGCTAAAGTGACACTAGAAGTAGGTAAATATGAATGAAATGATGAGAATAGATTAGGATTACCAGTCATATGATCTGTGGCACCTGAGTCAATGACCCATTTCGAGGATGAGGAAACAAGACATGTGTTTGAAATACCTGGATTAACGACTACCGAGATAGGGACAGATGAATGCTTTAGAAATTCTTGGTAGGAAATAAATTTGGCATACTCGTCTGAAGAAACAGCAATTGCTCTATCAGATGAACTGGTAGCGGAAGCAACATAACCAAGCTGATTTCCTTGATTCTTGAATAGCAATTTCCTACATTCTTTGATGAAGTGCCCGGGCTTCTTGCAGTAATTGCATATTACTCCTTTTTCAAATTGTCTGGTACAATACATTTTTTTTAACTCTTTTTTTTCGATTTATTTTTTATTTTTTTTTGGTTAAAAGAAAAATAGAATAAAATAAAAACTTGAAATGAAAACTGGACTCACCGCAGCTTTGGATTTAAAATTTGGAGAATGAAATATCCAGCTTGGGCTTTTTTATTGCTGCGCTCCAAACTTAACGCGCAGATCTGATGCAAGATCCCAGCAGATAGCACATGCGAACAATCACCTACGAATGACCCCAACAGGAACGGATGTCTGGAGATATGCGAGACCCAATGATCGACCAACCACCAGACCTCCTCTCACTATCTTCCCTTTTTAGAGAAAGAACAAAAGGAAGAAAAGTATACCTGGGGTCAAGGCGATGGCAGAGCTAGCTGGTGAGGCTGAGATGGTCCAAGCTCAACTGCGTCGGGAAGGCGAGGCGATATTTATGAATGGTCGGCGACGTTGAAGCACAATCAGATTAGCTGGTGATCTATTGATTTGATGACAGCGCACCAGAATAGAGGCGAGATAGGTAATTGACTGAAGCTCGCCTGGAATATAGTCGGGTCTGGAGGAGATGGGGGATTTGGAATGTACCAAGGTTCTGAAAGGTTCTGAATAGAGGTTCTGTAGAGGATCTGTCTTGAGGTTCTGAAGAATCTGAAAAACTGAACACATGTTTCTGAAGAATCTGAAAACTGAAATCCCGAAAGAAGAATTTGGAGACAGACCAGTGTCTGAATGTTCTGAATAATCTAAAGACTGAACTCAGGTTCTTGAGAATTCAGTCTGAAAATCAAACTCAAATCTGAAAAACTAAACTAAAATGGAAGGCTCTGATACCATGTTGAAATATAAACTACAATGATATTAAGAATGGAGAGAAGGATTTTCTGTGTATTTCATTGGAGGGTTAAGTCCCTATATATATACATTACAAAGATAGAATATTCCTATAAGATTCTATACAATAATAATATCCTAGAGTATATTCCTAAAATATTCTAAAGCATATTCTAAAGATAGAAGAATATTATAAAGCATGTTATAAAGTATATTCTATTCTAATGTCTTTCACAACAAATATCAAATAATTATTAAACGGTTCATTTTCATTGGCTTGAAAATTTGTCTACCTGAATCGATTACAATGCAATTTTTTAAAAGGTAAGTGCAAAACATAAAAAGTGCACCTATTTTGTGCACCAAAGCGAAAAATATTCATTATTTAATGCAGTGCAGAGTGTAAAACAGTGCACCTAATAAAAATTTAAAAGTATAACATAGATTATGCAATTTATATGATGATACATTTAATAGTGAAAATTGAAAGGTGATGCATAATGTTTCAAGTATAAGTGCATACACATAAATATTAAAATAAACATCCTACACGTTACCTTAATTTTTTCTCTTTAAAATTCTCAAATTTATTTTTCAGAGTATTATGGTGCACAAATTGATTTTCTTTTTGTGCAACTTTATGTTTAAAGCATTAGGGTTTGGTGCACAAGCGAATTACATAAATAATGTTCAAATGTGCACAAATGCACGAAAAAAGGTGCAAAGTTGTTCAATGAAAAGTGCCGTTCAAAAAAGTGCAAGATATTCTAATAACAAGTGCATGAGAGATTCCTGTTGAAAATTCGGTACATTTATAAGTTGCATTTTTAATAAATTATTAAAAATCAAATAAATCGACTCTTTATATGCTCAGTTGCACATATTGATTTTTTATAGTGCAACTTTCTGTTCTACACGGTGCACAAGCGAATAACATAAATAATGTTCAAAAGTTCACAAATGCACGAGAAAGGTGCGAAGCAGCTCAATGAAAAGTGTAGTTCAAAAAAGTCCTAAGATATTTAAATAAAAAGTGCATGAGAGATTTCTAGTGTAAAATTTGGTACATTTATAAGTTCTGCATTTTTAATAAATTATCAAAAATCAAATAAATCCACTTTTTATAAAACGTGAAAACTAAATAAATGGTACTGATTTTTTAATTTCAGATAGCACTTTTTATGTATTTATGTTGCACCCATCTCACACATTTGTGCATTTTTAAAAGTCATATTTGTACGGTTAAAAATGAGCTTAATCTCTAATAAGCTTTTAATGGAAATTACTTCAACGTTCCGGACTTTTAAGGTTTGTTGCATTTAATGAGTTGAATAATATGGAAAGTATACATTTTCAAACAACCGTATATAGGATTTGATTAATAATAGGTATCAAATAAAATTTGGTGGTGTATTGCTTTTAATCTAATGCCCTTAGGTGACTTTACATTTCAATTCAAATGAGATGAATTGATTACTTTCCTTTCCTATCCCAAATTAATAGGTGACCGTGCACTGATTTTAGTCCATCCTATTAAGATTATTGAAGGCTAGATTTCATTCTTATTTCCTTCCTAAGGCTCCTTTCTCACGTGAACCGTTCCATATTATATATATATATATATATATATATATATCTTCATGTCCAGCCGGCCTGACAGGAACCACCGTCCGGCTGAGCCCGTTTGGGGACCGTCCAGACAGTTGTTCCTGTCAGGCCGGCTAGACAGGAATAGGACTGTATATATATAGCCTAATTGCCATGCCATTCATAACTATCAGTTGTTAAAAATTATTTTGGTCAAGCCTCTCTTAAAGGGCTTATGAGTTTTACAGATAAGGACGAATTTTAACATATACTCCAATAATGTTCAAAATGTTCCTCTGCAAGTAAATATTATTACCTCGTAAATGCAGGTCCCTATCCCGTCTGTCAAAGAACACCTAATGAAGGAAGGTATAGAAGTTAGAATGTAATTTTGTTTTTCTCATTTAAGGTAATTGGTAGCAACCATAACTGAGTAAGTGTTGTTCCGGAGATTTGAGCAAAATTATGGATTCAATGGAGTTTGTTGTTTGTTCCAGACATCCATTTTCAAGGCACCAAGTTTTACAAAGCATCTATACTCACCCTCCCTCTTAGGGCTTTTCTCTATTTTCAGCATATTGTATGAGTTTTGTCCTAGATTATTCATGATTACAAATAAAACTACTCTGTATAAAAAACAGAGAGCACTTTATACAAAAAGCTACAATTAAATCATAGAATTGAAATACAGAACTTTAAAAAACCGTAATGTTTGAAAATAAAAAATATGTTTTGCCACTACCCCGCTTCTAATGCTAAATTACAAAACTATTGATGTTGCTCTTTCACCCGGCCATCTCTGGCTGGACAAATGCACAATGATGTATTTTGAACCTAGACCAAGCAAGGTTAAGAATACACTACCCCTATGAGGCTATGACTGACCTGCAACTACAGCTGCAACAGACTCCAACAACATTAAAGTGACATCAACATGGCCGGTGATGACTCCGGTTCTGACGATCCAGGCTCCCAACATCTTCATGCCGAAATCCATCCCTTTATGACCGTTGAGACTTGAGACGACATTAACTAATCGGAATTCGGAAACGAAAACAATCTGGAATGTGAGAATGTCAAAACTGTAAAGATTGCTGTGTTGATTATGTTGATCATATAATCCACTTTTGCTGTGTATTACCAATAGGAAGCTTATGAAGCTCACTCAGATCTCACACCAAAAATAATTTTTCCCCAAAATATGTGTTAAACAAATAATAAAGAATAAAGAATTCGGAAATTTGATAATAGATAGAACCGCATTGAGTTAATGAAGTAACTCACACGCCACAGCCCACAGGTATATATATTTCATATTATGAAAAATTACTAATGTGTTGGATAAGCTCATGAATCATGATCACATATTCGCATGCAAGGGTGGACTCGGGTCCGGGCCGAGTCTGGGTCGGGCCTAGGCCCGGGCGGGCCGGCGGTTCAGGAGTGGTGGACCCGGGACCGGCCCGGGTAACCACCGGGTCCGGGCCGGGCCGGGTCCATTATCAATTTTTTTTCCCTACTTCCTAATTAACCCCCCTCCCACCCCCAACCCCCCAAGCCACCCCAAATGGCCCAAAATACCCAGCCCAACCCGAAAATTTAAAAAAAAGAATTGAAAAAAAAAGTTTTGGCCCGAACCGGGCCTGGGCCCGGCCGGGTCGGGCCTTGTTTTGGGTGACCCGAGCTCGGACCGGAAAACCCACGGGTCGGATCTACCCGGACCGGTCACTGACCGGGCCGGGCCGGAACAGTACCGGTCCCGGGTCGGTTCCGGGTCGAGTCCATATCTATTGATCTATTCGCATGTATCTCCAATTCATACAACTGTAAAATTACTTCAATAACTTTATTATGTACATTAAATTTTAGTTACAATTAAAAATGGCGTGAAATAGAATTAGAAAGTAAAAATAGTCATATGGAGTAATAATGTAGTGAAAATAGAATTAGCAATTAATAAAAATAGAATTAGACAGTAAATCCCGTACTTGTGCTAATTTAGCTTGCATTGAAATTTAAAATGTGTAGAACTAATGTTACTCGCTTCCACGAAAAAGAAAAAATATTGTTTTATAGTTTTAGTTAGAGAGCTAATGTTATTCGTTCTATTATTATTACTATATATATGATTTCTCTACCCCCGATTAGTTATTGTTTTATTAATTTTTTAACATAAATTGTTTGCCATTTTAGGAATTCAATGCATATGTCATACTACATTTCCAAACTTGTGCTGGTTGAGTTCTCCCATGTTAAATGATATATTTCCTTGAAAAAATACATGAAGATTTTAATATCTAACAATGCACTGTTGTAGAAATAAATAAAAATTAGTATACAATATTCTTTAATATGATTGAACTTCTCTAAAACAAAATCAAATCAGGATGGAAGGAGCAATTGCTATTAAATTATTAGCATAAACAATCATTGAACAATGATGTAAGTTAACATGATTACATGATTTACATCTCGATAAAGGAGTAAGTTTTATAAAATTATTAGCAAAAAAGTTCTTGAAAAATAACGACACTAAAAATCCATATATTGTTGAGAAAATTTGATAGCAATTCGTATACCGTGGGATCATCCAACGGTGAGCATGGTGCTCCACTTCCAAAACGACGCTGCTTTACCCAATTTTTTTTAAAAAAATTCGCGTGAACAGTACACGCGTGTACATTAATTGTTTTTTCTTTCTTTTTGTCTCAGTAGCATGAATGGTGTAACTCGCGAGTAAAGATATGTAACTTACGTTATTGATTAATGTAATTCAAGTCATTCGAAATGTAACTTGTCAAATACATAGTATTAAAAATACAATATTGATTTCAATGTAAACAATGAAAAAAAGAGTCTAATTTTACATTTGCTTTACGTAAATTGTGAATATGTTTGTTTTTAATATCATGACCATTAAAAATATTTTTTTTAAAAAAAATATTTTTTTTGTTTCAATAGCAGGGGTTGATTTTTTAATGTAACTCATGTTATTACAAATGTAACTCGCGTTGATGGCAAATATAACTTAGATGTATACAGAATGTAACTTCTTGAAAAATTGAACATTTTTTTTGTGTGTGTTTAAGAATAATATATATGTCATAAACATTGATTTCAATGAAAACAATGAAAAATTGATCCTAATAGCTTAATTACTTTTTTTAAATAGTGAATATGTTTTATGTTTAATATTAGGGCTATAAAAATGATATAGCAGGGGTTTATTCCGTGGTGTAACTCACATACACTAAGATGTAACTCGCGTATATTAAGATGTAACTCGCGTACATTAAGATGTAACTTGCCCAGAAGAAGATAGAATTTGTTTTAATATGAATACCCAAAGCCCATCAATTAGATTGATTTGCTCCAATATCACGTTTACTCTGTAAATGATATACCAAAGCATCAACATTGAACCAACAGATAAACGTTCATCTTGTTAATAGGATAAATTAAATCATTCAGATCATACTCACCCTACTAACCTGCCACGATGTTCCCTTCGCCGAAGTTTCCATCTTTTTTTATCATTGGATTTTGCTAGAAGCTAACAGCTATCTACTGAAGGAAGAGTTCGTAGCTAACCAGGAAGTGAAACGGAAGGGTTCATCGCTGGAAAATAAGAACAACGTGCTGCTCTGATTTTTAAGTGCAAAATGATGCCGTATGGGGATCGGCACACCATGCGCATCATGGGCCGATCTCACGGTATAATTTGCCTTGATGAAGTGGTTTCTTATCATAAGCAGTTTGGGCCTTGTATATTAATTCCCAAAACAATAGAGAAGATCTTCACACGGACATATATCCAAATTACGGAGTATATATATTGTGACCTCATCAACACATAATCAACGACACATCATAACATTGTATTGATTTTATTTGCTTATTCAATTTAAGGTACAGTTTTCCATCATTTGCAATGGAGTCAAAGATTCATTATTTTTTGGCTTGAGATTATGATAGAATAAAGCAAAATGGCTCACTAAACTGTCTCCGTTTCTTTGTTATGGAGCAGGATTTTCACTATGGATCATTCGGAAACAGTCTCTCTGTGCTTTAGTGCAGGGGTAAGACTGCGTACATCCGACCCCCTTACCGTAGGTGGGAGCCTTTGCGGCACTGGGGTAAATGAAAATGAAAATGAAATATTCAATTTAAACCGTCTATTTATTTTTTATTCATTCTCTTTCATTTGGTTCCTTCCATATGTCTTTTTAAACCGTCTAAAGAGTAAAGATGCTTATTCTTATTTTTGCTAATTCAATATCAATATCACTTTTTCAGAATACTTATATCAAACTTCAATACTTCATGCTCTAAACTTGGTCAAAGTAGTAATTATACAACTTACAAAGTTTTAATTTTTTACATTTAAAATTTTATGTCTCAGCTAGTCAGCTCTCAAGCCTTTGATTTGTTTTAAGACTTTAACATAAGAAATTATTGGGGTTATACGCGTGAATCAAATATGAAACTATAAACATCTTAATAAATAAATAGGATTGAATACGGTTTTGCCTTTCAAATATGACATGTTTTATTTCAAACCTCTCAATTTATTTCATCCCTATGACATGTAAGTTTACCTCCAACTCTAATGCCGCTGCTTCATTTAGACAAAAAATAATGTCGGTTGCATAAATGTACTAGAGATTTTTCTCCTATGTTTTTTAATAGTGTTAATGACCTAAAAAGTAAAATTACATAATTTTTGAATGACAAAACAAAGAATAAGAAGAAACCTATTGGTCAGAACTTTTTAATGTCAAACTGAGGTTGTTATGATCGGTGAGATACTAAAAAACAACATAAATTACAAACACGTTAAATAAAATAATAGTATGGGATGGTGAGCTATCCTACGTGAATTAAATACTCCGTATGAATTAGGAAACTGTTTAAAAATCGGTTAGGCATGATAATCAAACATAAAGTAAATGTGAATCAGAAAACACTTTGAGTTTTAGGGTTCAATTAGGCGTGATATATATACCAATCTAACACGTTGCCACGCCTAGGGCCCTAGACTGAGAGAAGGTTAAAATTGATTGAATATATGAAGAAATAAGGGCATATATGTGACAAAAAAGACGATTACAAATAAAAATATAACCTCATATAAAAAGTGACTATTTTAAATGACTATTTTAAAATATATTAATGTTACATATTACGTTTTTAATCTTGCATTTTTATTATTAACCAATTCAGAAGTGTGAAATTAATAAAGAAAAACTGGTGAAAAGGAACAATAAGGATTGATAAGTCAAAAGGCAAGCCTATGCGTGCTCTCTCTGTGTACACTTAGCTTGACCACAGAATTTCCAACTGCTCTGCGTGAGTAAATTGTTGGAATTATTCAATGCTAAAAATTGCCAATCTGGACAGTACAATTGCAATCCTTTCAACTGATTGATTATAAATAAAAGAGGCGTATGCAAAGAGGATTGCAAATGAAACTCTCTCTTAAATAAATCATCTACATTCGTCTCAGGCATCCATCTCCTCCATCTTCCCAGCAATGGCTTTGTTCCAAATATGTGGCTGCTTTTCGAAGTCAACTGCGGCAAGCAGTCAATACGTCTGCAAGGGTGATGTTTGCGTTCTGCGTAAACCCACCACCAACCTCGGGAAGAAGAACCACCAGCAGCAGAAGGCAGCCAAGGCATGGTGGCAGGGTCTCAAAATTCCACTTGCCTACCTCTCTCTGAAGAAGAGTAATTGAGAGGCTTTAGGCTGCGGCTGCGGCCCATACAGGAATGGACACAGCTTCAGTTCCACACTTCCACAAGAACAAACTAACTTTTACAGAACACTGAATCGTGTTCATAAACAGAAGTGCAGAACCGCTACCAGAAACTGTGTATTTTCCATTTTTTCCGTTTGATTCAGGTCTGATTCCAAAGTTTACACAACATGATCAGACCAGCCATTTTCAGTATTTTTTTATAAAAGTTTCAAAATTAGGGAGACTCTGAACCATATCTAGATCTTAAAGTCTGGAACTGTCAGTTTAATTGGATGCAAAAAGAAACAAGTTGTACAGTTCCAGTTGTGGTTAGTTGGTTACTAGCTTAAGTGGCCAGAACCTACTGGTCCAAAACATATATCTACCCCTAGCCTTGTATCATAATTCCCTTAATTATGCCGCCTATATATTTTCTTAGCTTGTTTCCCAGATACTGCTAGTTCTACTACACTTTAAAGCGCCAAGGGAGGAAGGAAAAAAAGCATGATTGCATGGAACTTGGGCAAAACTCAGACAACCCACATTGTCCTTGAAGTTGTGTGCCTTTAATTCTAAAAAAAGTATAAATATATATTCCAATCATATACTTAGAATATGTTGTGTTGCCTTTTGTCCGCGGGTTCGTATACATATAGTTCACTCAAAAAATTAATGTACAGTTGTACCTTTGGGTGAGACATTTTATACAATAGTCCAATCATTCTCAACAGAAGAGGCAAGTGTATCAATTGGACTAAGGTTGCCTGGTTTTGGCGGCTTCTTTGAGAAAATAGATGAGAGTGATTGCTTTATAATGTTCTCCTCCTGGTTTGTTGGGGATGGTTTCCCTGCACTCTTCTTATCCTTATTACTACCAAAGATTGAGCTTAGTCTCTTGAAGCGACTTTTCAGCTCATTAACGGGAGGAGTGTTCTCTCCGCACTGTACTGTCATTTTAACGACTTCATCTGGGCTATGTACCATTGTCTCCACTGTTTCATACACCTAAATAAAATAGCATGTACCGCTTTAATTTTTATTTAAATGGTTCAACAACTTCATACAGAACAACTCCCTCACATTGTGGAGAGACTCGTTCATCTTATCTAATACAAGTTCTACAAAGTACAAAAAAAGCTAAACCAACTACAAACATACCTGACATATATCATCAACTTTCTTCACCCACGTGCTATTTTGACAAGTTGCAACAATGTAATCTTTGCACTCACGAAACAACCCTGACAAGCTGGGATTTGAGGAAAGGGTTGACTCGGCAATCACAAACCCTACACCCAGCTGAAATTTCAATAATATATGAAACTAAAGCAGAAACTGAACTCTTTTCTGGTCATTATAACATTGATATGGCTTGCAAAAATATATACAATAAGGTACTTCAAGAGGTCACTTGAATATCAAAAGGAGCTACATAGGAATCTTTTCAAGTAATTATAACAGAGATTACTAGTGGACAAAAGAAAAGACCCAAAAAAATAGAATTAAAAGAAGTGTGGTTTCATAAGAATACTTACAAGGGATATAAACAGTTGTTCAAACAGCACAGATGGTGAGATATCTTCCAAGGCATCCAGGATACCCTCCCTATGTACAGGAAGAAAAGGTTACTTTTCACGGATTTCATAAAAAAATCCCAGACAACAATGCAACAAACACATCAAATCTTACACAGCCAAGTCCTCATCATAGAGGGGTGTTTGTCTGACAGCTGGTACTGGTTTTGAGGTTTCCCACAATTCACGCCATAGATTACCTTTAAACAAATCAATAAAATTTAAGGAAGGTAAGTACTGCAAGTTTAATCAGACTGTTTGGCACATTGCCAAATAAAGCCAATATGTAGGCAAGTTTATGGCTTACTTCAAGCACTACCATAGTACTACCATGTTTTCCAGCACCAAAAATCTTATCTAAAATTCTAAATCAGGAATACTTGGCAAACATCAACTCAAACAGTGTACAGCAGAAACTGGAATTTTACAGCTCAAAAAACAAATTCTACGGAGAAACCGCACCTTCTTTCTGCATCCGATTACTCAGTTGGCCTCTTAGGGATGAATCACTGCTTTCGGATGTTTCGTTAGATTCACTATTGTCCCCCTCCATCCAGTCTGGAGGAGAATGCCATCTCACGAAATCCTCTAATATACAACCAGGGTTTGCTGCCTAGTGTATATTTGTTAAATTAGGAACATATGATTTTATCAGATTCATTATCAAATATACAGAATATACCAAGAAAGGAACTTAAAACCGGACTATAATAGAAATTCACCTTGAAAGCCTGCATATCAGATAGGAGTTGAGAGCACCCCGCACCAACACTGATAATAAAAGTCAGTTGTTTAAATGATACAGAAGATATGGGTAGGAGAATTAGTTGTCATGAGTGAAAAAGTGGCAGTAGTTTTCAATTCCGTAGAGCCAAAGAAGGAACTTTAAGACATAGCACGGCAATTATGACCAATTCTATAGGTAAAAGCAGGTTTTCATTCAAAAGATGAATTAAATCTTATTAGCCAGTCACAATGACAACCATGCAGTGTCAGAGCCTCATAGGAACATTGCCAGATGAAAATTTGAAAATGTTCAGTTATAGTACTAAGCTTATTCATTGATTAGGTGTAGAAAATGGAATTGAGGTGATAGATTTTTTTCACAATCCCATTCACTGTTAAGCATTTAAAAAACATCACAGAGCTAATCAATAAGCTCCCTGGCTATATTGATATTTAAAAAATATCAGTATAGAGTATACCACTAGAAATATTGATAAATCTATTTGCATGGCCATTTCAAGAGAACTGCTAAAATTTATACCTACAAAATATCATTCAGTATTTCAGTTACTATATTCTCATATTTATTTGCACTTTGGTTTAGGAGATGGACCGCTACCAAATATTTGATCAATGTGTAGTTAAGATTTTTATTGTAAACTCATAAAAAAGTAAACTTGAAATTGAAAGACGACATGCAGCTTCACAGTTGAAGGCATTACCTCCCTGTTCTCAGTACAAACTCCTCCGTTTCTTTTATAAGATCCTCTGTCAACAAAGGCGCTTCCTAGACCATCAGTTAACAATTTATTGACATAAAAGCAGTGCACATAGATTGACCAAGATAAAATTCATAGTTCGAAGTTTGGAACAGTGACATATATCTCCGAGATTGTACAAACCTGTATCAGTGGTGTATATATAGGTTCACCCGTTTCCAACATTCTTAAATCAGATAGTTTGTTAGCTCCTAAGCGAATAATGTGTTCCCCTGTGGCAATTTTAGCATACAATACACGACTTCCGGGAGATGTGTCCTCCAAATCAGGGATATTGATATTTGAATTAGCTAGACTCATAATAGAATCCAATTGTTCAGTGGCAAGAAAAATGCGCTTTTTCCTGGAAACACAACAGTTAATCACCTGTAGCTGCTGATACAAAAGGCAGGAATTTAGGTCAGGAATCTCATCAGATGGAATGCCAGGGATATACTGCTCCTCAGACCAAACCCTTCTCAGCTGCACAAAAAAAAACTAGTTGGGCTTTATGAGAGGCATAGGTGAAAATTTAAAATAAACATGCTAAATACTTCAATTTTGACAAAATTACAATGAAAACCCATTAAAATAAATATAAGAAATAAAACGAACAAGACAAGGGTTCTAATTTTCTAAAAAGGATATCAGTCATATTACAAAGGACAAAAAATTTAAAGATACTGTTCACCCAAAGCCGTAACAATTGAAATAAAAGGTCATTATATCAGAGATCTTCAAGATATATGGATCTACAAACTCATGTCTCATGGACTCAACTTACTTCGGCAACAATTTTGTTCCAAAATGATGCCATTTTCTGCAATGATTTCAGATTCCCAATCACTTTAGCAAGTTTAATTACAAAACAGTCAGGAGGAGCACCGTGAATATCTTTAGGTATAGATGTGGAGCTTGTTGATGTCTCTGAACCATTGTCCACCCTCCAATCAGGGGAATGTCCTTCTACAAGTATCTTGGCAATATGCAATAGATGTGAAAATCACAAAGTGCAACGAATGGGAAAAGATGGGTTTAGACTAGTGCAACCATAAAAACCGATCAAAAGGAATATAACTAAACTAGTCCAGAAAACTGGCATCTACCTGCATCTAGCAGTGAAGTGATTAGACAGCTATCTTTATTGTCAGTACCCAGCTCACTTATTTCATCTTTTTCACGTAGCACTAGTGACTTCATAGCAGAGAAGCTCAAGCTAGCTTTCTCTCTTATAGGTGAAGATCCTCTTGATGAAGCCAGGAGGTCTTTCATTGAGTTGTACTTCTTTCCAGACCTGGGGAAAATCCCAACATATGCACAGCTTACAGCATCCATATCGGTAATGGTTTCATTTAGTAGGGTTAGAAGGTGTCAAGAATTTTTCAGGAAAAACTATCTATATGCGACTAAAACATTCATAGTTTCCTAATATATAACTAACAAACTTAATCATGCCTCTATGAGTGATAATTAAATTGAAGGGAGAAAAAGTAGCATCAAAACATGTACCATACATGCAAAACACCACTACTTTGGGAATAAAAAGTTGTTTAGTCATATTTTAAAATCAGTACCTTTTTAGTCATAGTCCTACTAATTTCCTCTTCTTTTAAACTGACGATCACGTACTTTAGCTATTCTGATTGTTTAGAAATAAATGATACCATGTTTACATAAATTAGCATATAGAAGGATCTTTGGTAATGTTTTTTTTTCATTTACAATAGTTACAAATTTAAGAAGGAGAATTTCAAATAGTTCACATTTCACTGCCGAGAAGGCGAGAAGGACAAAACAAATTTAAAACCATCACCCCTAGGATACAAGAAAAGAATAGGAGTAGAAAGAATATCTCAAACGCTTAAGCATATCTTACTCAATAGCTATAGCTAGTTGTTTCAAGACAATAGATGGAGGGATGCAGCCTGTATCCAAAAGGTTTGAATCTTCCAACAAGGAACCTGATTTGGAATCCTGAAAGATATCAACAAAATCAACTTCTGTCATTTCAGCTAAAAGAGACAGAACTTTTGTCTGAGCTTATAATGAGGTCATCACCTTTTTTAAAACAACCAAAAAAGACCTAGAGTTGTGCGGTTGGAATTCCTTATATGAGAGATGCTTAAATGCACCTCAAATGAATACATATTATATAGTCAGAAGGCAAAACTAATGATGGTCTCATCTGTTATGGTTGCAGTTAATGATAATGGATTGTGAAATGTGAATAATCTATAATGTACTCCATGTTTTTTATGGAACTTTGGCTTAGATAACCTACAAGTTATGTCACTATCCATAGTTCTTGATCACCTTCTGACATGTAACAATATCTATGTAATTTATCAAGGAAAGTTCTGATAAGTTTTCTACTCTTACATTAATACATATTAGCAAGTTGGTGATATATACAAAAAAACACAGAGAGAGAGAGAGAGATGAATCTCATATTCTATCAATACAAAGCAAGGAAATTAACTAATAAGCGCAATAACATTATTCTTAATAGAGATCAATAAATGTAGTGGGCACGGCACCGCACTGCATTTAAATTTTCTATACTTTTGTCCAGCAAAATATTGACAGTGTAAATCAAAGTTTAGGAACGAATGATATATTTTCAGCATTATGTGAGCAGGTTTGCAATCAAGGGGGCATGCATTAGAGTTTGCATCCTACTCTTTTATCGAAATAAAGTTTGCGCCCCATCTCGAAATCATTAAAATTGCATCTCACATTTGAGAATTTCCACCTTGTTTTCTTTCCAATTGTAGTTTGCACTTTGCCCACCCTTATTAACACAAATTATATCTTTGGCAAAATGTTGGATGAAAAAGTGGGTGCAAACTCCAAATCTCCCTGTATGAAACCCATAACTATTCCATATATGGAGTATCAGTATATTACACAACATTTGATATCACACTTACCTCCTGCTCCCGAATTTCTTTATACCTCAACAAGTATAAATTTTCATCAAAAATTGCATATGCCATAGTAGAATTCTTCTTATCCTGTGATCCTCTTTTTCCTATTCTCAAGTTCTTTAGCCTATCTTGCCAATCCTGCTTCGTCTTTATTTGGCTTGGTCTCCACCTCAAACTCTTCCCTTCATTATTACCCTGCATAGTTACCAGAACCAATAATTCCTTCAAACATTTACATATCATCACTTTTCCAACACATGCCTACATGAAAACGCGTGGAGCTATTTCACAAAATCTAATAAATGATAACTCGTAAAATAATCCAAATCTCCTCAGTCAATGTGCTTTTTAATGAATCTAATTATTTAGCTGGTGAGTCTATTTACCAAATTAACCTATAATAAAACAAAATATGTAACAATGCGATAAAGACCAATCAAATTAAAAAGGTAAAAAGCAAACCGTCGGGATATGAGCACTTTCAGAATTGTATACTCCGTATTATTTTGACAGAGAACGACTAAACATAATAGAACAAAGTCAACTATGATCATAATTACCTTTCCTTCGTCCCAATTATCAATCAATTCAGGAGCTGATGTCTCCGGCGACTGCTTATCAGAATCTCCTCCGACTGGAACATCCAGATTTTCAGCTTCAACTGAAAAAGTGTAATTTTCAAGAACAGAATTAAGACAGAAAATTAGGCAATTAAATAGTCCAGCTCTAGTAAACAATAAAAATCGATAGGCGACATGAGTTGCGTCGATATACCTCCATCAATGGCGGGATCAGATTTTTTAATATCCGTAAAGACTTTCTCCGCTTTAGATGCAGCGGAATGGATGGCAGTACGAGCCCTGGAGACGAAGGACGGTTCCATTTCGTACGGACGAGGCATAGGATGAGCAATAACCGCTCAAAATTCGAACAGCTAGATAGACGCGAACTCAAGGAGGGAAGAGCTGAATCCAGGCAGCATGATACTCCGTACGAAAATAATACGGGCTACACTTGTTGTTTGCGGTCAGTCTATGGGTGGGTGTTCTTCCAATTTCTCTTTAAAAAATGAAAGAAAAGAAAAATGTTACTCCAAATTCTGTATGAAGTACGGAGTAGTAAAGAGTATATAATACTCCCAAAATAAATGTTCTGCTTTCCTTTTCGATCCGTTCCAAAATAATTGTTTTATTTCCTCTTTTGGCAATAATGGATGTTTCATATCAATTCACTTCTTTCTACTCAAATCTCAACCACAACTTTTACTTTTTCAACAACTTTCTAAAAACTTGTGCAAAAGCAAACAAGACAATTAATTCGGGACGGAGGGAGTACTACGTAGTATAATATTCGGGGGTGATTTTAAGAAGTCTAGAAGTGATTTTCTCTTTATAGTAAAAGTTGATAATGTTTTGAAAGTGTCTCATCAAACGAACATGCTCATACATAGGGTTTATTGGAGAACGACGAAGATTGAATCGTCGTTTTCGACATCAATTGATTTTTCGTTCCTAAGGGGTGTAACAATTTTGAGGAAGGCTTTCCGCAAGATTTCCTTGATTATGGTTAAGTGAACAATTTTGGATTTGACATCGTACGTGGCAGCAATTGAAATTGTCTGAACGTAGGTGATTGAAAAAAACTAGTGAAAGAATGCTAACACAATTGAAAAGAGGTTGAAGGGATGATCTTAGAATCTTCTTCAGGTTGATGAGCAACAATTCGTACGAATCTTTGTTTTTTTTTACTCCAGGGGCGTCTGGTGGAGGGCCTGAGGGCCTGGAGTAATCAGGGTTGAAACTCACTCCATTGAGATTCAAGCCCTTATGTACCTAGCGAATTTCGAACTTGAGACATCTCACTAAACATGGTAACAACACAACCAGTTGGGCTGGAATGTTTGGTTCGTATGAGTCTTTGTTATTGACACATTCATATTAGAAAAAATAGAATGTTGTTTAGGAAGAAAATGGCGGCAATCTACAAACCTATTAATGGGTTTATATTTCTGATTTCGGAGCACATTGTACGTAGTACGTTATTTGTTTCGATTCTATAATGACACTGATCCTATGAATAGGGTTTTAAGATGTTTCCTTGATGCTTGAACAAAATTCCACTATATTACAACAACTTAAGGAAGATGGTCTCCCATTTATCTTTATTGCTAAATTGCTAGATATGGTTGAGTTTTTTGTTCATGTTCATAATTTGACATGGGGGTTTCTAGCCCCACGAAATGCGGGGGAAATAGAAATTTTATAGGTAGTTTTGTGAAGATTGATGAATATAATAATGGAACTCTCAAGTCACTGGAGAGGATCCAGATACTCTGACTTGTGAGTACTCATTATTTTTTAGTTGAACTATTTAAGTCAGTACATTATTTTGTTTGTATTTGTGTTTATTTGTGGGACTTGAGGGTGTAGATGTTCATGTTAAGTTTGTGTTGGTTAGTTTCAATCTAAAACTTTCTTTGAAATTTTGTGCATTCAACGAAAAGATCTATTCTAATTAGAATAATCTTCTCTACATCTCGTAAGGGAGTGAGATGACTTTCAGGTTCAATTCCGAGTCTTTGATGGAGGAAAGGACAGAAAGTGCGAGTCTAATGTAAAGTTTATGATCAATGGTATATCAATATACGCGATTGTTATTCAAAAAGAGAGTAAATGTCAAAGTATTTAGTAAGAACATGTATAATAGAGCAATTGAAAACAATTGTTGGCAGATATGCTCTTGCTTATAAGTTCTAGCACAATTCTAATGCCTTTAATTTAAACATATGCACATTTTAACATGCTATTTATCCAAAGAAAAAGCAAGAATATTTTTGTAACAACATGAAATCAAACATTCCTTTTTAGTATAGGTTGTGATTATTATTTTACACATTATATTTTTCATCTAAATGGATGTTGGTAGGGTTGTATAAAAACGGGTAAAATATGAATATGTTGGTTGATTATGAGAATATTTCATTTTTAATAAAAGGTAATGCCTTTACGTCATCATATTGCATATTAATATTAGGGAAACGTACGAAACAATGTACATGTGGTTGGACCCATTTCTAGACAGGGTCATTTCCGTTATAACAAGAGGATCCTGACGCCTGACGCCTGACGCCGCCGTTAGAAATTATTGGAGAAAGACGATGAATAATAACTCTAATTTTCAAAAGCTAGTGCTCGGAAAATTCAAAGAAAAATACTGAGAGGTTCACCTTAACAAGATGATCTCTGCGCCATCTTTTTTTAACCACCCTTGTAACTGGAAAGTTCATCAGAAAAATGATTATTCACTTCTCTATTATGTCAAGTTCGCACATATTATTATTTGTAATCGGAAATAGATTATTCAATGTTGGATTCAATCAATGTACATCTATGAATTATAAGTATACTTTTTAACCTCTCAAAAAAATGTGTACTTTTTAACCCATTAAGACAATTCTAAATAGTAACATAACACTTTTTTTATAGAAAAACATATTTTGGATTAGAAATCAATCGTCTTTGCGCTATTTCTAATTTTGGATTATAAATAATTTCATAAATAGTTCTGAAACAATGTTAAAGTTCATAAATAGGACTATTATTGCTTTATTCTCAAATTTGGACCCACTCACTCCTATTTTGGGAGGTTTCAATCAAATTATTCTTTTATTAGAACTAAATAAGTCCTATTTGGGGGTGAACGTGTCTAGTCTAATATTTTAACTTTGTGCATGTCTTGGTCCTATATTAAGCAATGGTACTATAAATTGACCAATATTTTGGTTTCGAACTAGGATCATGTCAAACGTTGCATGTTGTGCCAAAACATGTGTTGGTAGTTGTTTAAAATATAATACTACTATGTCAAACTTTATCATATCTATTACAACAAAAGGGCCTCACGCTAATTTATCGCAAAATGCACAATTTTTGTCAAGATCATGTGATAGTTTTTCACGACAAACCCCCTATCGCACAATTTTGGCTCGAATTTGAAATGAAATTACTAATTTGTGCAAATTCCTTGACAAAACTAACTTAGTTGTGAAGCGCTAGGGCTTCATAGTCTTGGATCAGCGGCGGCCTGTACGTTGAACTATAGGTGTTATTTTTTCGGCAATTTGTCTTACGAAAAATCTTGTTCGATGGATTTGCTTCTTCTGTGCTTCAATGCTGCATGAGTGATAGGAGACGGCGGTGCTAAGAGTCTTATTTTGAAATTTCAAGGGAACGAGAAATCTCGATATCGTTCATATTTCTAACCAAGTCATTACATCGGTGATGATAATTCTGATTGAAACGTTTAGCGGTATTTATCTAACCTTAGATTTATTAGCCTGCCCACATCTCGAACCACACCACTTGGTAGAGAGGTGTAAGTAGACTGCAAGTTTGAATAGTCAAGAATAAATGTCATTGGTGTTCATACCGTCGTGACAGATCTGCTGATCAAGATGAATCAGGCTAGGGCACGACATGAGTGGACATTGATGACTCATTGCTGTTTTTTTCTCTTACAAATGGAGCCTTTAATCACTATTAGTAGTTATGGTTGGTTCAATACTCTATTTTATTTTTTGTTTATCTTAAATGGTGGTGAGAGTTATGTACCGGTCATGGATAACTTACATGTGCCCATATGGGAATTAGCGAGACATATTGCTCTTGTGTGAGTGATTGACTCAAAGTATGGTTCAAGGGCGTATGACCGGACTATGATTTTTAGTCATGTTGTATTTTGTCTGGCTGTTGTAATATCAATATAAGCCATTTCCATTCGGTTAAACTAATTCAATTGCAATTAGTGAGAAAAATAATATAATGAATGCATATTGTGTATGAACTTTTACTCAACATGAGAGCCTTTCATCCATAAAGATCATCATACATGTTAGGAGCTTTTGTGATATCTTTGACCTCTAACTTTGGGCTAAGATAATTGTTGGGATAATGGCCCAACAAGGGCGGGGCCATTAACCCATAAGGGCCGCCTAATGGTTGTTTACATAGACGGCCAGGTACGGAGATCAAGTGAATAAAGAAGCACGACGTCCAGAGATCCAGAATATAGCAGACACCGGACGATCGTCTCCTAAGACCAAACATTCTGGTGAGACCCCCCCCCCCCCCCCCCCCTCCCTCGGAACTACTCACAGGGGCATCATTTCCCTCTCCAGAGTTCATGGCAGAGCGGAGTATACTCTTTTTCCTCCGTTAGGATTTCCCCCCCTGAGTTTTTTCCTCAGCGGAATTTTTAATGAGGTACCCCTCTGCCTATGACTTGGGAGGGACCAAGGGTATTAGATGGCGACACACGTCAGATTCAATTCTACTTCCTTATGTCCCGCGCACGTTCGGAACATCAGAAGTGGGGAACTTGTGTTGGGATAATGGCCCAATAAGAGCCGACCCATTAACCCATAAGGGCCACCTACGAATGTCCCCAGAAGGCCCAAGACAAAGGACTAGCGGACGTACATATCCTATCAACAGCAGGTACCTTGGCCAGAATGCATGGGGACGAACGTCCACACCCCCCTGACGTGAAGCCAAGATTCTAGCAGGGGACATGGGGCAAGTGCATGGGGACGAATGTCCCCGCCCCTTGGCGGGAAACCAAGATCCTGGCGGGAAACGCATTTAATGCAGAAGATTCGGTGGTTGGGATCGAGCCGTCCACATCCAGCCATGTCAACGCAACCACCTACCCCGTGGTAGTATAAATAGAGGCATTTATTTCACTATAAAGGGTGGGCAACTAAGCACTCTAATAGTATAGCATTGTAACAGCTCGTAGCATAGGCTAAGAACGAACGGCCTCGTGCCTTTGTACCGAGATTAATGTATTAAGACTTCTTATTGGGCCTCTTCTTGCTTGTTTCTTCATCTATTTACTAACTTCTCCACTCGAAACCCCTAGGTTACGTGTTGGACCTACGGGTTGAAGGAATAAACCTGAACAATAATCTATATTTAACAAAACGTTTATCAATGTCACTTATCAAAGAAAATGTAGTGGCAAAATCAATAACATGTCGTACTTTAAAGAATCTCTCCATGCCTCCATCACAACTTCATGATTGTTTACATTTCTTATTACCATTACATATGTCCTTTGACGAAATTATCACCTTATATAATAGTATTGTTTGTCTAGGTTGGGGGCACAAGCTTTATATTGAAGTACTAATACTAAATTTGGGTGTCCAGGGGGCACTTGGCCCCATGCAGGCCCCTAGATCATCTATTGGTGGTATACATTAACTAGTCATATCGTCCGTTTGGTTTACAACAAAAATTGCCTCAGAATAATTTCTTTGGTAAATAATGAATATATGTATCTTGCATAAAAGTTTAATAAAAAATGTAGGAAACATATCATTGATACGTAATCAATGATAACTAAAGTAGGAGACAATTCTCTAGTTTTTATTTGCACACGAAGTGTAGGGATGCAAAAGGTTTATATTGTTTGGTTCAATTATTTAATGTAAATTGTAAGGCATTTTTTTAAGTGGAAGAGGATGGTGAAATATATCTTGCTTGATTTTTAAAAAGCAATACAATGTCTTTGCGCGCAACTTACAAATAAATTACACATTTGGCTAAAATATTACATGCAAAATGATTGATTCCCTAAATTTTGCATGCAATCATTTTGTGTGCAAACATTTAACATATAAACTACAAACAAGCTTTTAGAGTGATGTAGTTGGATATTCTTCAATTTGTCAAATGAGGTGATTCTTTTATCGTTCTTTCTTGCTCTATCGATAAAGATTTAAAGTGAGAAAAGGAGTTAACTCAAACTTAAATTAAATGCGTTATAAGGTGAATTTCGAGAATGGTGAGGAGTTGTAAGGAGCCATATGTGACTCAAGTTTTGCGCGGATGGTGGGATTGGATATAATGGGTGTTTGGAACTCATTCAGCTTCTGCTTATTTTTTAAAAGCAGAAACATAATCAGAATTAGTTTTCAGAAGTTGGTCTCTCTAGCTTCTAAAAAAATGTTTCTATGAGTAATTTAGAGCACCAGAAATACTTCTGCACTTTCACCCAAACACTCCATCACCTGTTTTTGCTCCTTCAAGGAGCAAAAACAATTTTAAGAATCAGATCCTAACACCCCCATAAAAAACTTATAAGAGAGCTTTGGTTAGGTACTCAAGTAGTTGGGAAGTATATGAGGAGAGAGGATAGATATGAACTATGAGTAAATTAGTTTGTGTTGACTTTTCAATATGGCTAACTATTATTACGTATTTTCTGCGTCCCTTGAAAATTTATAATCTTTCCTTTTTTGATTGCAAAAAGCCTTGTCATTTTTTCTTTTAATCAATCAAATTGTGATTACTATAATTTCTCTCTCCTCTATACAAATCTCAATCATACAATTTTGAATTTATTATCTCTCGTACCAGTCAAGCTGGTAAAGTTTTGACGGATGGAGGAAGTATGAACTGATGGTCCCTGATAGAGGTAAAAGTCTAGAGGGGGGGGGGGGGGGGGGGGGTGAATAGACTTTTAAAGCCTTTTCAACTTTAACAACTTTTCCCTTCTAGATGAGTTGACCTATAATCTTTTGGGAGATTTATAGATGCACAACGGAAGTCTTTAATCTCTAGATAATCAGTGTGTGACAACTTTATAGCTTGGATGATGTTTGGACTTAAACAGTGAGCAGTTGGCTGGATGGCAGGGAACTGCGGAGGCAATTGCTGAGGAAAGATTTACTGTATGATGAAGGCGAAGATAGAATATTGCTTAGAATGATGAGATCTTTATGGAAATGCACATGCTGAGATGATTTATAGTTGAAAGTTTATGAGAGCAGTGGTCAGGGCAGTTGAGTGGTCTTTAGGGAACTGCTGAGTGAACTGCTTAAGGAAAAATGAAGGTATGGGAAGACTGATTTTATAATCTTGCTCAGGGTGATTAGAGCTTTCAGAAAGTGTGCTGAGATGATCTGGAGTGGAAGTTTATGGGAGCAGTTTGCTTGGCAGTTGGCTGGTCATGAGGAAAGTGCTGAGGCAACTGCTGTGCAACAGATTGATTTTCCGAGATCAGTTTGAACAGACCTTTTTAATAGTGATGTTACAGGGCCTTTGTGTGAAAGTTCTCAAAGAAAGTAAGTAATTAAGCAGTATGACAAGCAGTAAGATCAATCAAGACTACTGCTTAGTATACTGCTGGCAAACTACAATCCTTTTATGAGAAGTGTTGGGTGTGTGCTTTGTTGCATGAAAGTAAATCAACACACAGTGTATCCTGATTCATAGGTGGTGTAATCCTCCTACGTCTAGTCTCACCCTCTTTCAGATGGATTTCCACTAAAGTATTAAGCCCAATACACTTAGTGCCAATCTAGCCTTTACAACACTCAGGCCTAGATTGAAGGTATTTCACAAGGAGTACAACACCACTCCAAGTTACTCAATCCTTTAGAATTTTCTCAATTGATCCAGTGTGGATCAAAATGTACTCTATCTGTCTATCCACACTTAGGACTTGATAACACAATCCTTCTAAGTGTTTACAACAATGTTTTGTGATTTGTTACAAGAAAGTTCTAACCTCCAACTAGGAACTAAACTTCTAGATTTTAGCAATGAAGACTACTTGTAACTTAGAAGTTTAGTGAAACATGAGTCCAATCAGAGAGTAAAGTTAAGTTCACACTTTCTCTTTTGCTAGATAGCTCGTATATGCTCAATGGGAGTTTTTTCTCTACTTTGGATGCTCAAAGCTTGGTTAGAAACTTTCGTTTCAGTCTATATTTATAGGCTTCTCCTGTTGATTAATCTCATCTGTTGGTTAGGATGATTTAATCTTCACCGTTGAAAATCTGGCAGTGACGAGTTATGTATTCGTCTTCTTGTGTTGGAGCAGTTAATGCGGCTTTCTTCAATAATTTGTCTTAGAGACAATCTCCATGTGTCCGTCCCATGTACTTGATCTAGCATTTATATATTGTTGGTCAAGTCTTTGTCTTCAATCATGTATATGATTTTCGAACATTTGTGACTTACCTATTTGTGACAGTTTAATTTTTGTGTGCAAATAAATTTATACTGGTAGGATTTAAATATCCTATTAAGGTAAATAAAAAATTACCTTATTGCATTTTAAATTTTCAAGTATAATTTTATTAGTCTAAAAAATTGTACATTTATTTGTCACTTAATGAATTAATTTAAATGCTGATAGTCGAATTATATGAGACACAATCTACAAGTGTAGAGTATAGAGACATCATCAAAATCTATCAAAATTGGGTACTAATATGAACTAATACTCTCTCAATCCCATAAAATTTGGTCAATTTTGACTAGCTCGAAAATTGGGGAACAATAAAATAATAACTACTCTCTTAGTCCCTTATAACTTTGTGCCAAAAACTTTACCATTTTTCTTTTTAATCAATGAATTTGTGTTTCGTGTCATTTCTCTCTCCTCTGCACATATCTCAACCAAACAATTTTTACTTTATTATTTCCCGTACCGGTCAAACATGACAAAGTATCAAGGGACGGAGGGAGTATGTAATTGAGATTTATGAATAAGAGAAAAAATCAACTTCAACCACACATTCTTACTTTAGATATAATCAAAATAACAAAAATTAAATTTAATTTTCTAATTGAATTGACTCAAGTCACGGTAGATGATCCTTTTAGCTCTGAGTTTGCATAATGTTTTCTTTATTTTATTAATAAAATACGTCATAAATTTTAAATATAATTTTCACATATTTTATCAGATTCAATCAATTCAGCTTCTTCAAGCAAAATTCCATCATTTTCAACAAATTTAACCGATTCAATCTAGGTGGTGTTATCAAACGAATTCTAAATTACATATTTTGAAAAAAGTATTTTAGAAAAACTTTTAAATACACAATAATAAATTAAAATTAAAAATTTAACTAAGAAAAAACTGAATGTCTATTCGACAAAAACTGAATCTTTGAAATACCTTGTCAAAGTAACACCTAGTTGCACAAAAACATTCGACATTGCTTAGCTATAAAAAAATTAAACTTGAACAAGCATGAATTTTGTACATGAACTTGTCTCATGAAGATATACAATAAAATATCGTGGATTTTCTCTTTTCAACAACATTTTTACACACTTTTACCTAATGAAATCGAGGTGGTCAATAATAATATATGTAGTATATATACTCTTTCATGTGATCTATGGTGGGAAAATGTGGATATTCACTAGGGATGTTACAACTATAGTGTGATAGGATGAACTTCTAGTGAGTATAGTATAAATTACATCATTTAGCTGACTGAGTAAATGAGACATGAGGTCTGGTGAAGATTCAACCTTGGAGGATTGAAAAAAAACAAAAAACAACTTATCCCCTTCATTCCAAATTGATTTCAAAGTCAAACATTTTTCAACAAATAATGTCAAAGTTAAACCCTAAATATTAATATCTAATTCCATTTTTAATAACTAAAATCTACATACTCCAAATTAGAATATAATTACCAATTGATATCTTGTTTAACAAAAAAAATAATTTTGCAAATGAAGAAGGGATGGATATAGTATGAGTTATTAGTGTTCAGATTTTGACATTTTGTTTATTTTTTCTAAAGTAAGCTACGGATATTTAATAGAAACCCGCTACTGCCTCAACCAGAAAGCGAGGCACGTGTAACAGCAAGACAAAGCCACTTTTCTTTTCTTTTGAAATGATGAAACTGCACTACTCCCAGATTTTGCCTGCTTCTCCGTTTCCTCATTTCCCTCCCGTATCGGTCGGTATAGAAGAAGAGTTTCAGTAGAACTTCTATTGATGGCTAATCTCCCTCAGAATTTTCCGATGAGCGCCGCTGCCGCCGCCGCATTCGGAGGAGGTCCTGGCCCTTCCTCCGCCACCGCCGCTTTCGGAGGAGGTCCTGGCCCTTCCTCCGCCATCGTGGCTCAGCCCAACAGGGAACGTACGATGCAATCTGCCGAGCAGCTCGTGCTCGACCTCAGCAATCCCGACCTCCGAGAAAACGCTCTTCATGAGCTCTCCAAGGTCCAAAACACTCATCAACATCTTCTATTTCATTAATAGTGAATTAGTGATGAGTGAACATCTGCTGCAACCGAATATTATGACTGTTTAAGTGTTCCGAAGTGTAGATTGGTCTGCTTTGGTACACATTATATAACGCTCTTCTGCGCGATTTTCTGGTTCTGTAGTAGCTGAATATTAGTTCTTAGATATAATTATATACTCCTCAGACTAACGAGTGAGACAAAGTTGCATTTTCTGCTTTGATACATCCCTATTCCCTAACGTGACTTATCTGATGGGGCTTGTGAGACAAAGTTGCATTTTCTTTTTTATATGATTATTACTCCTACTATTTTCTCTGAAGTTATAAGGTTGGGTAAAAACGGTTGCTACAAATATTAATGTCGTGTTTTGGATCGTTCTTCATTGACCCAACTACGGAGTATAATTTATTCTTCTGTTTTTAAATGCATTTTTCTTCTTCTATTGCTTTGTGTTACTGAATTCAAATATACTCACATACGGAGTATATGGTATTGCCAAATGAGCACCACTTCTTTTCTATAGTGGGTTCTCTTGAAATTTAGGTCAAATTGGAACAGGATGTATGGAGTATGGGCATATAGGGGCCTTCAATACTACATAAGTTTGCTGTATGAAACTGTCTGGTTATTGCTGTGTTCATTGTATCAATTTCGATTAAATTTGGAAATGCTATTGCCACCAACTCAATTGTAAATCTCTTGAATCTTTTTTATGCTTATAAAGATAGATATTTGACTGCAAAAGTGCAAATGATTAATCAGATTCTATTAACAAATAACCAGTATTCTATAATAATAATTCATGACTTTGATCATTGCAAGTCTGCATCAGACTGAACTTAAAAGCCTGTTCTTTCCAACTTTAACTTTTCTCTCTACACAGAAGAGAGAAATATTTCAGGATTTGGCCCCACTGCTGTGGAATTCATTTGGTACTGTTGCTGCGCTCTTACAGGTATTGTTCTAGCATTTCCTTATGGTAAGGACATCCTTTCACCTGTTCTGTAAATTATTTTGCCCCCCTTCCCCCCCAAAATCACAAATCAATATGAAAATATGACATCTGTCATGCCTCTAACTGTGCACTGGTCTGAGAGAAGGACCTGGCCGTACTCTCGCTTTGTTCACCCTTTGGGTATAGATATTTGACACGCTAATTGAATTTTAAAAAATGAGTTGAGTTTTAATTGATTAGAACGGGTTTTGTTAATATCTGATAATTGAAGCATCACAGGGTGGAGGTTCACAATATTCACCATAGCTATATTTTTATACCAGCATTGTGCACTAAAGGAACGTGGACACTGATCTGGTATTTGGTAAATACAATCTACTACTAATCTACTATATTTTTATTGGGTTTTGGATGCTTCTGTTTTGCCATGCTTGCAGGAAATTGTTTCCATCTACCCAGTTTTATCACCACCTAATCTTACTCCTGCACAATCAAATAGAGTTTGCAATGCACTTGCACTTCTTCAGGTACATAAAGTTGTTTGCTCTCCGGCGGTTAAAGTCCAACTGTCCAACCTTTTCTTGTTTTCCATTCGAATAAATTGGTGAACGCATAGTCAACATTCTCTACTTTCCAAATAATGCAAAAAAAGCAACTGTCTAATTATATACTCAGTATCATGAGGTGAAATTTTCTTTTTCACATGCCTCGAAAGAATTAAAAAAAATCACTATTGATCAGTTTATAGCTGTAGCTCATCATACCAAGAGATATTTTGTAAAAGGAATTAGCTACCACACTTGCAGCAGTTGCCTAGCGCCTGGGTAATGATTGATTTAGGGTTTGACTGGACTTAGACAGGTCTAGAGTCTAGACACGAGCTAAGCAGAAAAAACCGAGGTGTCCATGGACAAGCTAGTGCCTAGGCAGGGGACTAATGAGGGCTAGGTATGAATTTTCACAGAAGATTACTAGGAAATAACAAACTTTTTGTTGAAGGGGTGATCTCCACAGTAAGAATTGTTGTTAAGCTGCATGTTTTTTAACACAATATATATATGGTTGCATGTAAGTTTTTCGCTTTTGTAGTATGCTATTATCGTAACCAACATTCAGCAGACTATATATCCTTCTCTTAGAGTAATCTTTGAGCCCTTATATTTTTTAGCTAATCAACCATTCCTCTATGGTTTGCAGTGTGTAGCCTCTCACCCAGACACCAGATTGCTGTTTATGAATGGTAAGTATCATTTCAAAAAATCTGGAAATGTTTGTTTACTACTGTAGTTCACATATTGTTGTTTAACTTCATGATAGTTTGAAGAGACAATGACCCATAACAGAAGGTTGAGTTTGGTATAGTGTTTTAGTTCTCTAAGGACTTGAAGTGTTTCAAGTAACCTTTTTTGTCTGAATTCCCACAAGCTTCTTGTTTATTGACATGTTTATCACATAGCGAGCACGTAGGCATACAGCTGTGTGTGGGATTCTATTCAAACTTATTCTGACTCCTCTATTCTCATTTTGCAGCCCATATTCCTCTGTATCTGTATCCTTTTCTCAATACAACTAGCAAATCGAGACCTTTTGAGTATCTGAGGCTTACTAGCTTAGGTGTCATTGGTGCCCTGGTGAAGGTAACTGTTCTTTATCGATTTTCATCGCTTCTTCTCTCCCTAATTTGCTCCCATCAAGAATAGATATGTAAATGAATGTCTGAAGCACTTACCAGTTTCAGATTCATATTTAAGAAAAGATTGATATTATTCCCAATACTATTTGTACAACAACATATTTAAATGAACGACATAATACTTTTTAAGTAATGTTCTTGATTGAATCTGTTCAGGTTGACGACAATGCCGTTATCAGTTTCCTTCTCTCAACGGAAATAATTCCACTCTGTCTGCGCACAATGGAGATGGGCAGTGAGCTATCAAAAACAGTTACACAACCCCTCCCACAATTTTATAGTTCTTTGGACTTTTAGTTTTGTGGTTGAGGTCACACCACTTTTTCCTTCCTGAAGTTACTGAACTACTTTGCTTTTGGTCCTTCAGGGATATTGTTATTTATCGCCTTTAAATATATTTGACTATATATGTTTGGATGCTGTGTAAATTTCTCTGGTGATACCTCAACTTGTTAACCATGCATCTGACTAAGGGGTTGTGCTGACATAGGTTGCCACATTTATTGTGCAAAAAATCCTTCTGGATGATATGGGTCTGGACTATGTATGTACCGCAGCAGAGAGATTTTTTGCAGTGGGCAGGGTGTTGGAAAATATGTTGGTTGCGCTTGCCGATCAGCCTTCGCCCAGGTTGCTCAAGCATATAATTAGGTGCTACCTTAGGTTATCAGACAACCCAAGGTCTGGTCCATTGCTGCTACATTGTCCTACTTCCCATTGGTGCTTTGGGTTTGGCCTTAATACTCCCTGCTCACTTCTTTTTATGCAGGGCTTGTGATGCACTTAGAAATGGTCTGCCAGGCATACTCAGGGATGCTGCCACCATCAGCAACAGCCTTCGTGTAAGCTTGAATCTTTTTTCCAATAGAGGAGCACATAATTGCTCCATAATTTTGAAATGGAGATGACTATGGAAAACTTCCAATTAGCATTTTTACAAGTTACCTACAGCTTTTCAATTTATCTCGCTACCTCATTGCCAGTTTTTTTTTTTATATTTATTTCTTTTATACTTTATCTTTTCCCTATTTCCACCAGTCACCTCTGCCACCACTGTCAGGAGAAAAAAACTATCCGCCACCATAGCTGTTGACCGATCCTTTAAAAAATTGGCAACAGCCTGAGGTTCCCGGGGATACGGGTAGCCGAGGTGGTGGGGCTGGTGGAAATAGAGAAAATAAGTATAAATAATAGAATGTGAAAACCTGATGATGTGGCAATAATGGGTCAAGGTTAAATGCTAAAATGCTAGTTGAGTGTTGAACAAGATCGTATGTTTCATTGATGTTTTTGGGTACAAGAGCCTAATTGAAAATTTGGAGAAGGTAGAGGGGTTTGAGGGCTTATTTGACATTTTTTCCATGATACATATTAAAGCAAAAGTACTATTTGTTGGAAAATGTGTTAATAAATTGCATTAAATGGTCATTTTGGGGCAATATTTTGAGTGAACTCCACTTCCGATTTGGGTCGGGTTGAAGTGGTTTCGGATTGTCCTTGTTAAGGGCTACAATTCGATATATGATACACTCAAAACGGATAACGGGTGAATGAGAAATTGATTCTGGAAGTTCATTCGTTGAAACGGAAAAACTGGAAAAAAAGTTGGTTTTCTAGTGGGATTTATCCCACATCGAAAAACCCAAGGATTTTCACCCCAAAAAAGGGAACCCTCTTTGAAGGAGTTAATATTACTATGGGGAAAGGCTCTCTTCGCGCGGGGGTGCCGATCAAATCCCGAAAACGGATAAGAAAAACCGTGACTCGTGTGCGCGGGCGACCTGCGGACACGAATGTCGTCCGAAAATTAAATCGTATCTTTGAACCAGAAATGCTCAGCGGCAGAACTGCTCCGGACCAGAACACCTGAGAGGGTCTCAGGTGGCTTCCGGACAGAAGACCATGAGGTCTTCTTGTGGCTTCCTAACAGAAGACCACATGGGAGTTCTGGTGCCTTCTCAACAGAAGACCAGAGAGCAGTTCTGGTGGGGGTATTCTGGTCGCGCACCACAACTGCTCCAAGCCGTTACATCCGTTAAATGCCCAACGTTTTTGTCTTTTAATGCATCTTTAAATGGACAGTTTTCGACATATTAATGCTCAACGTGCTGGACATTTATGTGCAACGTTCATGTCCATTAAAGCTCGGTTAACATAGCACATACACAACGCACAATACATTCCTCACGAATTTCTTAAGCTAAAATTACCTCCACCTACTCCGAAAATTTCCTAAGCGTTCTAGCTTGTTCTCATTCGCCGGAACTTTCGTTTGTGTGCTCAAACGTTAGTTCGTTAGCCACCATATCCTGGGAAACGGGGAAACGGTCGTTGCAACGCTCCTAGCACCGTGAGAGGCGACAAATACGTTTTAAGGAATAATTCTGGCTAAACTCTGCTTCATCTTATTTCTGTTTTCTTTAGCTATTTTAATTAATTAATTATTTTTGTTAATTAATAATTCTTCGTTTTTCCGCCCAACACTATTTATATTTCTTTTAGCCCTTTCTCAATTGCATAAATGTGAACTCTACTCTATTATTGCAGGATGATCCACTAAGTAGGAGGTGGCTACAACAGTTGCTTCAGAATGTGCAAGGTCCTCCAGGTCCTCGAGCATCCCTTCAAGTTCAAGGAGGTTTTGATCATTTTTTGATGAACTAAATTATCTTGATCCCACCTAGTTGCGGATCTGCTGAATGGTTCTGTAATAACTGTTTGACGAAAATGCGGAGACTAGTTTAACTCAGTACTGTAGCTTAACATCTAGTTAAAAAAAGAAACTGAAAACTCGCAAGTGCAACCACTCTGGTGTGGGCCTAGGCGTGGTAGATCTGAATTTTTCATGTGGTAGTCCTACAGTTGAGGTATATAGGAAAGAATTAAAGAGGGTTTGGACTAAAAGAAATTTGCTATATATTGACACCCTTTTTTATTTCACCAGTGACCAGTCAAAGTTACTATATACTACCTCCGTCCCAAAAAGATTGATACATTTTGACTTTTCTTGGTCAATGGTGGTAAAGTTTAGACAATGATTTTAGGTATTATATTTGTTTGTAATTTATAAATTTTATACTTTTATGTAAGATGTTTTAATAAAGAATATGCTAATATAATTTTCATAGTTTAAATAATTTTGTATTAAAAGATATCATTGGTCAAACTTAACCATCATTGACCAAGAAAAGTCAAAATATATCAATCTTTTTGGGACGGAGGGAGTAGTTTAAATCTTTTTCATGTTGAAGCAGGATCATTTGTAACTCTTCAGGGTTATTGAGTTAACTATTTAGGGGCCCTTTTAGAAGTCTTCATTGTTAAAGTTGGTCAGCCTTTGTAACTCTTATCAAGTTTTTAATGGTAAGTTTTCCCTATTTTTAATGGCCTTGGAAGTATAAGCTTGGAATAGCTCTTATAGGTTACGAACTTTTTATTATTTTATTTTCCATGAACACTGTCATGACTCATGACCATCTCTTTACATGTAATTATTCTAATGTGATGGGTAAGTCTCAAGACATGTTAGCTAATACGTAGTAAGTTTTACAAATTTTGATAGTTTGGTTTTTACCTTGTGAACTATCCTGTCTATCCATTAGCTGAGACTGAGAGGTTAAATTTATTTAGATGAGATACAAGTGATGCAGAACAAATATTGTACTTCTTTTAAGGAAATGAGCAATAAATTCAAGGCTGACAAAAAAGAAAAATATGTAGATAATTTAGAGACATGTGTATGATCATTCACTTGAGAAGGTTTATGTTTCAACTTTTTTTTGAAAAATATGCATGAAAAATATGGAACAAGACTACCTAGAAAAATTCATGAGAATACGTAAAATGAATATCATCACATTGTTAAATAATGGAAAAACTCTTAATTCATTCTTCATATTTGTTCTGGATTGGATATAGTTTCAATTCATAATTGCGTCGTGTGAGTGTGGAAGTTAGGATTTAAATCATATTAATAACCAATTTGAAAAACAAATAGTCATATACACCATCATAATCAAGCATTTCAATCCACCTGATTGTGAAGTTACCGTGCCTAGTGAAAGGTTTCGAGTTCGAAACCTGCTAGGCACATAAGGGTTTGAAACTCAATGAAGTGAGTTTTAACCCTGATTACTCCAGATCCTCTAGCCTCCTTCCCCTAGACCTCTTGGAGTAAATAATAATAATAATAATGATGATGATGATGATGATGATGATGATGATGGCGGCATGACGTTAATAGAGTGTTCTTTAAATTTTACTATTCTTTCATCTATAAGAAATGGATATAGCATAATTTGTCTTGAAGGAATGTATATTATTTTGGGATGAATGAATGCATACATGGGTTATGAAATTATTAGTTTGAACAAGTGATTTATTGAAATGAGAAAAATACAAGAGCCTCAAACGTACGTAGAATTATTTTTGAACAGTTTGGTCCAATATTTTTTTGTTCTAAAAATCTAGAACTAGAAGTGTACTCTTTCAACGGTACGGTTTTGGCCGGTAGGGGAATGCCAACTTATCGGGATCAAGGAAGCTTTGACATGGGTTCTAAATCACAATTGGGACCTAGTGGATGAAGAGTTGGGTAGTCCTCTTGGTTTTATTGTACCTGCTTTGAACTTTGATTTGATTAATGATAATTAAGATTATTTTTTTTTTCAAAAAACCGTTTAAATATTCAATTTTCGGTTTGAACCATTACGGGTCGGGTCGTAAGGATTTGATATTATTATAATCCCAAAATCATTTTAACATTATTTAACATTAGAAAAATGTTAAGGGATGCGATAAGGGTCACTTTAGAAGCGGGCTGGCAGAGAGTAGAATTCGAGACAGATGCACTTAGTGTGGTTCATTCATTTGATTGTTGATGATATTAGGAGGGTTTTGGAAACAAAGAGTAATTTTCATATCTCTTTTTGTAGAAGATCTGCGAATCATGTGGCTCATGCTCTGGCACGATCACATATTACCATCTCAGATCATAATGTTAATTATGATTGCATTCCGGATTGTATTGTAAGCCATTTGACAAATGATCTTTTGATTTAATAATACTTCCGTCTTTTGATAAAAAAACATTAGAAAAAGAGTGGGGATCTAACTTTGCACCTCATGTATGGGTTAATATTGACTTTTTACGCTTTATTTTTGCAAAATTAATATGTGCACCCCATTTTACTATAAAGTTATTTGACTTTGCACTTTGCATTTTATTCATTCACAATTTTTTAGTTGGTGGAATATACACATTATTTTTTTGAAAATATGATGTAAGTAGCAATATGGACTAAAGAATACGGTGCAAAGTCGAAATTCTCTAATTACATTTAGGTTGTTTTTACTTGAACGGTTTTCAATCCCAGATCAGACTAAACTTAAACAGACCAGATCATAATATCATATTAGACTTCCGTAGTTATAAAATACACATAGATACAACATTTATCAGACCAGACCAGATTAAATCAAACTTAAACATATCAGACCAACAAATTACAGTCCAAGTAAAAACATCCTTATTCTAGAATTTTTATATAATGAAATACGGAGTACTCTTCAAAACATGTTCAAACTTTAAAGTAAATGAATGGAAATGTTTAAAAAATAGTTTTTATTGATAAAAAAACCTGAACGATAGATTCAATGTCAATAAGAGATTCGGAAGATAAAATGATTAAAAACTATCAATTTAACACTTAAAATAACTGTCGTGAAGAAGAAATCATCAAAAAATGAGCAATGGATAAAAAATTAAGTGAATCAAACTCTATGATATTTCATGTCTTTAAATGATCAATAAATTTTTTACGCAAAATTTATACATTTTTTGTACACACGTCTGTGTACAAAGACAATTATAGCCAACTACTATTTTTCTTAACGAACTAGCCTTGTACACATGTAACTAGGGGGTGCGTACAAAAAGTGTACGGATTTTAGGTACAAATGTATTTTTCTTGATTGACAGTTTTCAATCATTTGGGCACTACATCGACACACTTATCTTTCAGATCCTTTATTGATAGTAAATCTATCTTTCAAGTTCTTGATTGATAAAATTCCTTTTAAAAAATACTCCCTCCGGTCCTAAATAATCTTCATGGTTTGACTATGGTTTTTAAGAAAGTGGAATTTTTTGTTTTGACTTTCCCACCATACCCCTACAAAAAGTAGATAAAGTATAGTGGAAGAGAGAAATTGGATGTAAAGTAGGTAATAAAGTAAGGGTATAAGAGTAACTTTATCTTAAAAACTTACCAAAAATAGAAGTGTGAAGCTTATTTTGGACCTACCCAAAAAGGAAAGTGTGAAGTTTATTTAGGACCGAATGGAGTACCTATTTAAAAACTATTTCAAAATGAACTATTCCCTATTCTAGTGAGTATTGTCCAACTTTCCTTTTCTTTTTGTCCAAAAAAGTTTACTACTTTCTTTTTAAAATAATGAATTTGTGCTTTTACTTTTTTTTTTTCCGAATAGGCTTTAATTCGATTCTTCTATTCCTTGTACTTTTTTTCTAAGGAAAAATAGAAACAAATAATCTCACATTTACGCGGTCTGCTTTAAACGGTCCCTTTATTTGATAATCCATAAAAAAGCCAACCTTTATATAATATCTTCCCTCTTTGGTCCGGATGACTTTCTACCGGCTACATCAGTCTATTTTTTAAAACAATGGTCATTTGACTTGAAACAAATTTTACCCTAAATATTTTTTACCTTCAATTAAATATGGGAGATTTACCTTAATAGTACCAAAATATGGCTTTTTTCCCAAAATAGGACCAATGAGTTTAAACATTCTTAAATAGGACTTTTTATGTGTTATTGGACCAAAATACCCCCACTGTTGCCCCTAGACTGCTGCCCCTGGACCTCCAGCCAGCCGCCTGCCGCCAGACCTCCGGCAACCACCGCCTGCCGCCAGACCTCCGGCCACCGCCGCCGCCGGAAAATTCCAAAAAATATCTGGCAGACTGCCAGATTCTGCCGCCACTGCCACCCGCCGCCGGAGCACCGCTGGAAAATTCAAAAAAATATCTGGCAGACTGCCAGATTCTGCCGCCGCCGGAGTTCTCCGCCGCCGCAATGGTGTTTATCAGAATTTGTTGTTTATTTATTGTCTACTTATTGTCTATTTATTGTCTATTTAATGTCTGTTATTTTCTTGTCGCCACCACTGCCGCCACCACCGTACTGCCCCCGTCACCGACGGACTGCCTTGGTTGTGCAAGAAAACTAGGAGAGAAATTATTTAGGTCAATTTAATAATCCGCCGCTGCCACCGGAATCCGCCGCCACTGCCGCCGAGCTGCAACCACCACTGCCGCCGTACTGTCGCCACCACCGGACTGCCCCGCCACCGACGGACTGTCTTGGTTGTGCAAGGAAACTAGGGGGCAATTATTTAGATCAATTAATTAATTAAATAGAATTAGGGGTAAAAAAGGTAAGGTTAGTCCTATTTAGAGAAAAACATGCATGTGGTCCTATTTTGAGAAAAAGGTTGAGTTTTAGTCCTATGTTGGACAATTTTCTCATTAAATATTACTCTGTACCTTAGAATTAAAATTACTTACGACTACTGAACGGGCTGGGAGATGGAGAAGCGCCGATGAACGTCAGACGGTGGAAGAGAAAGCTGGCAACGGTGACAGAGGATGACGTCTTTCGCCATTGAGTTTATTACATGTAATAATTTAGAACTCTGCTAACTACAAATCACTCCATAACTCTTTCACCCCATTATCAGACTTGTATAAAGTGGAATGTGGTTGACAAAATTCCTTATTGAATTTTTAGAGAAATTAGTTGTCTTTTGACTTAGTAATTAGCATAACGTGTGATAAAATGTGCTTATAATAAACGTTAGTGTTTTGGGATGGCTTCTTATTAACAATCATGAAATGATG